TTTGGTTCTAATATTTTTAATAGAAAATTTATTTATGAATGATTTACAGGATATTATTGAATATTCATTGCATTGTAAATTGATTACATGTATACTCACATTACAAATATGGTGTCATTCAAAATATATATTGATGATGCTTGAAATAATCCTATAATTAACAATAGATCCAAGGATTTACATCTTTGAGGTTTTCTTTATGTTGAACATAATTCAGCGTCACATTGCTCAAACATAAATATAGAAGAACATATGTCAACATGTGTGACAAAGTCTTATGTACAATCTAAAAATGCAAGGTCACTTGTGAGAATCTAATATAAGACCTAAGTGATGTGAAGATAGAAGTTTCAGTAAGAAAAATACTTGAAAATCAAAACACATAAAGTCAAGTGTAAGATTCAAACTCAAGATGTAAGCTATAGAAAGATAAAAATGATCACAAATGAAATATATGAATATCACAAAAAAAACAAAGACATTGACAAGATTTGAAATCAAGACCTCAACATTGACATGCTAAAAAGCTGATCAAGAAAATACAAAGTAATAGTAGATGATCAATGTCAAGGAATGAATCAAATTCAAGACTTACACAATGGTTGAGTTGAAAGATTCACATGAAGCTCTCATGGAAGTAGAGAAGTCTTTGTCATGTACTCTAGATGGTAACACATCAGCATAATACATAGAGAAAATGACAAAATAGATGAACTTACTTTGTCTCAACCTTAGAAGTAAGAAACAACTATTGATGAATCTCATACTTTCAGATCAAAGGTTTAAGCATGATCCGTAAAAGAACTACAAGTCTCAAAGTAAAAAAAGACTAAACATTAGCAACACATATTCTCAACTATAACACATCAAATAAAATACATTGACAAAATGACAAACTCTACGACTTTATTTAAACTAGACCTTGATAGCAAAAATGTTTTTATTACATATCTCCACAAAAATATCAAAGAAAACTCATATGAGAACGAAAAGTTTCAAACTGAAGAATAAATGAAGGTCTCTAGTTATTCTTCAAAATGTTGATGTAGCAATAGGAAGAATCTCAAATTCGTTTGACCATTCTTATCCATTGGAAGATATAAGGAATGAGCTTATGAAAGATTAGAACTAATTCCGAAGAAAAAAATCTTTTATCTCATCCACTCAAGCTCAAGAGGAGTTCATATTACATTCGTGAAAAAGAAACTACTACATGCCTCAAAGGAAGGCCTAAAAGCTAGATCATTTTAGTGACACAATTGTAGTGATTTAAGTCAACTACTGTATTGAATATTAACTCACTCTATCTGGCCCTAAGGTAACCTGAGTAGTGAGTTGAGAGGGGCTTAGGCTAAGGTACTAGGTGTTGAGAGTCTACAAGTTCTTGTGAAATGTATGGTGTTTGAGGAGACCAATGTACTTGACTTAAGCACGTGGTGTTGAGAGTCAAACTTTGCACATCAGAGGTGTGGTTTGTGGAGATCAAACAAAAGTGTTTGGGCTATTAATCCTATGAAATTAATTATATTTTCAAAAAATAATAGTGACTTCTAGTAAGAAGAATCCTTTGAGATAAGACTAGTCCAATCAAAGATAAACTAGTATAAAAACTCGTGTCTTTTGTGTTGATGAGTGAGAGAGAGAAAGACTAGAGTGAGCAAATGTAGAAAGAGAGTGATTTAAGAAAACTCATACACATAACAGAGAGATGGTGTGAGAACCTATGTTGACACATACAAACATAGACAGAACAAAAGAATAAATCATAAAACATAGAAAACTAATTCAGTTCCCTTCTTGGTGCTCCACTTAGCCACATTGAAGCCAATAAGTATAGCTATGATGATATGGTAACCTTTGCGTTGTTTGTTATACATATGATTGAGAGAAAAAAACTACATTCTTATAGAGAAACCATCACAACAGATGAATCATCTAAATGATAATTGGTAATACAATAAGAGATTGAGCATATATAAAGTAATAAGATAGAAATTACTGTAGAGTAGTGAGCTCACAAGAGACGGTGTGCCATGGGAACCCAAAGCACCCTCTCAACTAATTTATTGAAAAATAAACTCAAAAACATATTTGCTACAGAGACGAGATCTCTTGTTTTTACTAGATTTCAAGAGTTCTTGAGCTACTAACAAACAAACCTAAAAACTAAGGACATGTCTGCAAACATGTAAAATGTAAAGTTTTTTGTAATAAGTCCTCTTGACACACTCCTCATGAAGCTGGTGAATGGATATCATCCATTCCCAAATTAGGAAGAATTTATTGTAGTTGTGTTCCCAAAGCACCTTTGGTTAACATCTCTACCAACTAATGTTTTGTTGACATATATGGCATAAAGATCACATTTACCTCAAGTTTATCTTTGATAAAATGCCGATAAATTTCCACAAGTTTGATATGATCATGTTGTATTGGATTGTGTACCAAACTAATTGCTGATTTATGATCACGATAAATTATCATAGGGCTTGATAAAGGAATCTGCAACTCATCAAGAAAATTTCTCACCCATAGAATCTCACATACCCCTTGGGTAAGTGCTATGAGTTCTGCTTCAGCACTTGAACAAGCAACTACATTTTATTTTTTATTTTTACAGGTAATAAGATTTCCTTCAACAAATTTGAGATGACCATAAGTTGATTTATGGTCACTTATTGACCCTTCATAATTAGCATCTGTGAACATTTCAACATTTACCTTCCCACTCTATTTGAAGGGAATTCCTTTTATAGGTGTGACTTTCAAGTAATGGAATATTTTGTATGTAGCATATAAGTAAATTTCCTAAGGCTGATGTATAAAGTGACTCAAGACATTCACTACAAATAATATGTCATACACAATTTTTCATACACAATTCGTCATGAGTTTCTCCTTCTATCATACACAATTTGTGATTCAGATCAATTAGTGTGAGTGTTGGTTTACATCTTGATTTCTCTGTTTCATCTAATAAATATATTATATACTTCCTTTGAGATATAAAGATACCCCAAGAAGAATGAGTCATTTCAATGCCTAAGAAATATTTTTGACGCTCCAATGTTGTGATATCAAAATTTCAAATCAAACAATTACCCAATGTTTGGGTTTCTACGTCATCATTTCCTATTATAATAATGTCATCAACATATAGTAATAAGACTATAACTCTCCTTGAAGGAGAGTGTTTAAAGAACATAGTATGATCTGCATTACTTTGACTGTAGCTCAATTGTTTCATGATAATTGTAAAACGACCAAACCAAGCACATGGAGACTATTTCAGTCTCTAGAGGGCATTTTTCAATTTGTAAACAAAATGAGGAGTAATCTAATGCTCATAGCTTGATAGTTGTGTCATATATACCTCTTCCTCAAGATCACCATGTAGAAAAGTATTCTTAACATCATAATGTTAGAAATTCCAACTAAAAATTATAGCTAAATTCAATAAAAACCGTATAGTATTCACTTTTTCCACCAGTAAGAATGTCTCATGATAATCAATGTTGTTGATTTGGGTATAACCTTTAGTCATCAATTAAGTTTTACATCATTCAATTGTGCCATCTAAATGATAATTTACAATATATGCCCATCTCCAATCAACTAATTTCTTATATAGTGGTATTGACACTAACTCTCAAGTTTGATTCTTTTTCAAGGCACTCATTTCATCATCCATGGCATTTTTTCACTTCACATTTGAGAGAGCTTCCAAGATATTCTTAGGAATAGTAGAAGAATAAAAGGAAACAAGAAATGACTTGTATGGAGAAGAAATACGATGATAGAAAAGATAATTTATTGTGGGTTATAAAAGTGGCTTAGTACATTGTCTAATAGGTTTTTGTAAGGCAATAGGAAGTGAACCGTCATGTTGATTTGGTGGATCAGCAAAGGACGGAGTAGAAGATGTTTGGGTATTCTCTAAGGGATCATTAGGATCTTGGATTTTTTGTAAATCATGATTTTGCTGCTTCTAAAATAGAATTTGTCAAATCTGGGATTTTCTAGAAGTGGATCATTGGTAGGGTGAGATATTTCAATGGTTGGAATCTGAGCCAGAAGATAAATAACATGTGACTAATTTGAATGTGACTCAAAAGAAATAGTAAGTGTAACACTATAATCAATAGGATCAATAACTGGTTTAGTGGAAGACAAATGATTGAAATAAAATACTATTTCATGAAATGTAAAATCCATAGAGATAAAAATAAATAAATTAAATGGAGGGTGGTGACATTTATAACCTTTTTGATTCATTGCATAACCAAGAAAAATATACTTAAATGATTTTACTACAAGTTTGTCATTGTTCTATATATTATTGACGTGACTTAGTCGTATATTAAATCACGTAAATCTAAAATTTATAAAACTACAAAATATGAATTTTCGGATATTTAGAAATATTTCTGAAAAACTATATCAAGTATAATTCAATAAAACTTCCAAAAATAGTAGTAATTTTCTAGGTCGATCACAGAGACGTAATATAATATCTGGTAATTATTTAGAATTTTCCTCAAAGAATACTATTTTTTATGAATTTTATATTAGGAAATGAAAAGGAAATATATTTAAAATTCACGAAAAAGAGAAATAAGGGTGCAGACGTCAGGATGACGTTAGCGCACGGCGAACGCAAATCGGGCGAAAATAGAGTTTCGCCCGTCGATTCTTACGTAAACAATTACATATGGTTTATTTAATCAAATTAAGATCTGTAAAAGCCAAAAGAATCGTAATTGAACGAAGTATATTTTGGTAAATTTAAAATCAATAAATTATCACTAAATGAAACGGAAATTAAGTTGAAAGCAGGAAACAAAGTTCCGACGTCACGACGGCGATGCGTTGGTGATGCACCGGAATCCTAAGCATTCGGGAGGATCGTCGTGTAGTGTCCACAGCCTCGAAGGCTCTCCTTGGACAAGGACGACGTGAAAAATCTCTAGATCTCCTTGTGAAGTCTAGAGATCAATAAAATGGGTTGTCGAATCGTTTTCGGCAGCTCTCACCCGGTGGAGCGGAAGAATGGTGACTTTGCAGCTCTCCGGCGGCTGGTGCCAAAATTTGACGTGACTTAGTCGTTGTATATTAAATCACACAAATCTAAAATTTATAAAACTAGAAAATATGAATTTTCGGATATTTAGAAGTATTTCTGAACAAATATATCAAGTATAATTCAATAAAACTTTCAAAAATAGCGGTAATTTTCCAAGTTGATCACAGGGATGTAATATAATATCTGGTAATTATTTAGAATTTTCCTCAAAGAATATTATTTTCTATAAATTTTATACTAGGAAATGAAAAGGAAATATATTTAAAATTCACGAAAAAGGGAAATAAGAGTGTAGACGTCAAGATGATGTCAACGCCCGGCGAATGCGAATCAAACGAAAATAGAGTTCCACCCGACAATTCTTACGTAAGCAATTACAGACGATTTAATTAATCAAATTAAGATCTGTAAAAGCCAAAATCGTAATTGAATGAAGTCTATTTTGGTAAATTTAAAATCACATAAATTATTACTAAATGAAGCGTAAAGTAAGTTGAAAGCAGGAAAACAGAGTTCCGACGTCAGGACGGCGATGCGTCGGCAATGCACCAAAATCTTGAGTGTTTGGGAGGATCGTTGTGCAGTGTCCATGGCCTCGAAGGCTCTCCTTGGACAAGGATGATGTGGACAATCTCTAGATCTCCTTGTGAAGTCTAGAGATCAATGAAATGGGTCGTCGAATCATCTCCGGCAGCTATCACCCGGCGGAGCGGAAAAATGGTGACTTTGTGGCTCTCTAGCGACTGTCACCTGATAGAGAGGAGCTGGATGGAGGTGGGGCGCGTGTCAGGGAACTTCATCCTCAAGTCTGCGCGGCAAGAGGAGGCTTTTCATCGCATCTGGTACGCTCTCAGGAGGTGGCAACTCATCTCCTAGCAGATCGTCCTCTTCTCGATGACGACTTGTTCGTCGATCAATTGGAGATGATTTACTCAATAGATTTGCAATCCTTTTATCGCAAATCTTTCAGCAATTTTAGTAACAATGCTCTACGAATCACGTTGACGAGATTTTCGCCGATGATCTAGCGATTTTGGTTGCTTAATCTTTCACCGGCGATCTATAAGAAAGTCGCGATAATCAGATAAAAATATATGACTTTTGGCTCTGGGAGGATTTGAACCCACGCCGGTTGCCCTGCCCCTTTCTGGGGAAGGTGACGCAAGTTTAGTCCCAAATCGCTTGTGTATGACCACTCTTTGCCCCACAACCGGCTGGCCACCGGTGACATGGAAGGGGAGTGGCGCACACGTGCCCCCATCGGTTCAAGCCGCTTGAGCCCTTGCTTGCGACTACTTCCGACCCACTTGTGGGCCCGGCTGGTCGGCAAGTCCCCCTCATTTTGTCTTATTTTTATTTTTATTTCTTTTTCTTCATTTATCTCAAAAGTAAGACTGTAAAAATCATATAAATTCGTATAAATCACATAATTACCCAAAAATTTTACGTTAATCAACTAAAAACCACTTTTCACACTTTAACATAAATATAAGTCTATTTATCATGAGTTAAGGCTAAAACTATATTATTTACTAATTATTAACTCATGATAATGAAGACTTATCAATTATCATGAACAAAAGAAGTACATCCAAATATTCTCAATTCTATTCCATGATTGATTTGGTTTTGTTTGAAAAAGCTAGCCAATAAATCTATAGGGCTTCAAAAATTTAAAGTTCGAGAAGGCACATGATTGATGAGATATGTGGCTGTTAGGATGGCCTCACCCCAAAAATAATTTGGTACATGATGTTGGAATAAAAGAGATTGAGTAGCATCTAAAACATTTCGATTTTTTCTTTCAACTAAACTATTTTGTTGTTGTATACACAAGAAGATTTGTGTATGCCCTCTATTTTGAAAAAAGAATTTAGACTATGAATAAAGAATTATTTACCATTGTCACATCTGAATATTTTTACAATTATACTAAATTGATTCTTTACCATGGCACAAAAATGTTTCAAAACGTTACAAACATTCGATTTTGTTTAAAGAGAAATAATGACATACATCTAGTACAATCATCTATGAAAGAAACAAATCATTTATTAAGAAGAAAGGTACCATGAATATCATTGATGGAACAAGGTCCCTAAATGTCACTATGGATTAAGAAGAAAGGAACTTCATTCCTTTCTCCTTGAGATTGAAAAGAACTACATATGTGTTTAGGAAATTCACACACATTATATTTAAGAGTATCTAAAGACACTCTTTGAAAAAATGTGAGAAAAATAGTCCTTAAGATATTGAAGGCTGAATGTCACATCCTTAATGAAGTAGATGGATCTTATTAACAGCTTCTAAATATTCTACACATTGACCTGCTTTAACAGTATACATTTGACTTAGTCCTTTTAGAAGAAATAGTGATGTAGGACGGGGCGAGAACCCTGTACCTAATCAATGAAACTCAAAACCTAGGATGAGATAGTCAGACCGATCTGATAAGAATGTTTGAACCCTAGACTCTAGGTCTGACCACATAACCTAAGCACAGGCAGGCGTACCAATATACATGATCAACCCAAGACAACCCGGGAAAACACTCGATGATGGTAAGTGTGAGGCCCTCTCGGTCCACGTCCTAACAGATGGCGGAACTGTCATCGTGAAGTAGCCTAGGGCTACAGCTCACGAACTGTGACGAGTCTGGCGCAGTGTCGGAAGTCATGATCCGATAACCTGTCCTATCTAGTCGACATGCTCTTGATGGCGGTAGAAACGAGCCGAGAAAACCCTTCGAAAGATAATTAAACTTAAGTAAGAAGGGGTACGGAGCTAACCTTCGGAGCTGCATATCCCAGCGGGTCGTGACGGAGCGGAGATCCGATGAAGGCAGGGACGTCCGGTGAAGAGCGATGCTCAGCGTCGATAGTCGGTCCTAGTCGAGCCCGCTGGTGGGCCGAAGGGCACGCTAGCGAGCGTGGGTCCGCTGGTGGGCCGAAGGGCACGCTAGCGAGCGTGGGTCCGCTGGTGGGCCGAAGGGCACGCTAGCGGGCGCGGGAGGCAAGCCGCGCGGCGGCCTTAGGGCACGCAGGAGCCGGCGCGCGGGGCGCGCGCGGCGGCAGCGCTTCGGCGGGAAGGCCGAGCGTCTGCGGCGCTTCGGCAGGAATGCCGAGCGTCGGCGGCGCTTCGGCGGGAAGGCCGAGCGTCGGCGGCGCTTCGGCGGGAAGGCCGAGCGTCGGCGGTTGGGGCGGAAACCCAACCGTCGCCGGAAGGATCGGCCTCTCTGGCGGCGCCGGGAAGCGGAGCAGAGAGGAGACGATCCGGCCGACGATACCAGGGACGCTCTCCTGGTCTAAGCGGCGCCGGAAACGGCGCGACGGCGGCGGAGCGTCGGGAAACTCCGGCGGGGGCCTGTGAGGAGCTGGGACTGGTTCTGGCTCGTCGGCACGGCTGCAGGGTCTCTCCCGACGTCGGCGGCAGGTAGGCGTTCGTCGGCGAACGGCCAGCGACTGGGCGGAGCGGCGGAGGGCGGCTCCGGCGAGTTTATGGTGGAGTTCCGGAGGAAGAGGTGGCAGACGAACCAGGAGTCGAGAGACTCCGGCGGAGTGCTCGGCGACGGCTCGTAGGGAGGCGAAGCGAGCCCCTTTCGTCACGATGGCGTGACGGGGTTCCAGCAGAGGCGGCGGCTGTTGCAGCGGCAACCGCGACCGTTTCGTCCGGTGACGGCGGCGAACTCCCGGGCGGCACTGAGATGGCCGGCGGCGGCAGTGGTCTCAGGCGGCGGCGGGACTTCTCGGGCCGCAGCGTCACGAGGAACGAAGTCCTCGAAGGGGGTATCGACGGCCTTCCTCTTCCTCCTTCCCTCCCTATCCTAGATCACGGAGAAGGTACTCACAAAACGATAATCTCTCTCAAAAATACGGCGCTCTCTTGAGGGGGGGTCCTATCTCCCCTTATATGGGGCCCACAAGTGGGCTAAGGGGAGGTGGGCCCACTTGAGGCCCTCAAGCCCATAAGCCACAAAAGGCTACAAAAGGGGCTTATTGGGCCTCTTAAAGAGAGGCCCAATAAGCACCCCTAAAAGGAGAAAGAGGAGGGCCCTCTTACGGTGCTTAAGTGGGCCTCAATTGAAGACCCAAATAAGCCCCAAAAGAGGCCCAAAAGGAAAGACACATAGGTCCCACGCCCTTAGGGTTTTAATTGGGCCTCAAAGAGAGACCCAATAAAACCCTAAAGAAAGGGAGACACAAACAACAACACACACACATAGAATTGGGCCCACTAACACACAAACATGAGGCCCAACAAGTCAATGTGAAAATATAAAGAAAGATAAGGGTGAGCTCGAGCTCGTCATCGTCATGGAGGTGGAATGTCGTCATCCCGAAGGGCTAGGCCATGTAGCGGAAGCTAGGCTCCTTCATCTTCGCACGTCAATCGGGCTGAACTCAGATTGCCGGTGTCTCCTGAGTTGATGGAGACGGGTTCGCTCGCCATCAAATAGTCCATAATGTTCTCTAACTACTCCAATTCTCTGATGATGTACCTTATCAAATATCACACAAATATCTTCACTAAAGAAGATATGGTAGGGTGAATTTCTATCAAGTTTGGGAACATGAAGAACATTGGTAAATAATTTGAAAATATGAAGAACATTTGTAAATAGTTTGGGAACATGAAGAACATTGGTAAGGATACAAAGGGATTAAAGGTGAATGTCTCATGTACCTACAATGGTTATAAATTATCTATTTGGAGTCATCACTTTCTTATCACTATGACATGAGTTATATTTGATGAAGTGATGAGAAGAGTTAGTCATAAGATATGTTGCTCTGGAGTCCACTAACCAATTGTTAGAAATATCTCTAGAAGAAGCTTTAATTCCAAGAGAATGATGAAATATACCATGTTGGACTAATGAGTGATGTTTAATGGTAGAATTTAGTTGTTTCCAATTTAGATCAAAGTTATTTTATATCATTAATATGCTGATTCTATTTGAAATCAGGTAGCTGATTAGTAGGCATATTTGTTGTAAAATGTACTTGGCTCTCATGTTTTTCAATATTGAAGTTTGGAGGTTTGCCATGTAACTTGAAGCATTTCTCTTATATGACATGGTTTTCTACACTATGTACACCACAAATTATCTATAAAGTCACTTTTCTGGTTCCTTAGCTATGTTGTGGAGGTTTGTTTTGATATGATGTCTTCTTCAGAAGTTCACCTTGTTTCACCATAAACATAGAATTATCAATTTCTGAAACTAACATCATTAACTTCTCACAAATTTCCTCATTGAAAACAGTAGAAATTGCTTCAGCTAGATCAACTTTCTTTTCTTGACTCAATAATTATTGTCTAACTTGATCAAACATTGGGTTAAGACCAACAAGGAATTTAAACACTCTCCTTCTATCTATAAATTTTTGTAACACAAAAATGTCTACAGGTTTCTTAGTATCATGATTGAGATAGTAGTCAAGTTCCTACCATAAATTCTTTAATTCTCCTATATATTCCATACTTACTTATTTCCTTGCATTGTGGATATGGATTTTGTTTCAAGCTCATATATATGAGCTTCGTTGTTTTTTGTGAAAACTTGACATGAATTTTTTCCCATAAATCCTTGACTATAGTTAAGAAGAAACAATCATAGCTAATATGAGGAATCATTGTTCCCCGTAGTCACATTTTGATTAGAGCATCTTTCTCTCTCCATCTTCAGAATTCATATGATGTTGGATTTAGTTTCCCATCTAAAAAATGATTTATCATACACCTTCTACTCAATACTTCACGAATATACTCTAACCATTGAATCAGGTTATATCCGATTAACTTGAACTCTACTAGCATTCCATGGAGTTCTACAAGTAATCTTGTTCCATTAGAAATAAGATTCACTTCTCTTGTGGAGATTGAATCTCTTGTAGAAGATGATGTAATATCTCCTATAGTCTCCATTTTGTCACAACAAAACAAATAGGCTCTTGAATATTTGACAAATAAGATATTTGATAGATGAGCATACTAATAGTAATCAAACATGAAAGTAGATTAGAGTGATCACACGTGGATTCACTCTAAGAAGATACCATAGATATTGGAGAGACAATGTGTTCCTTGCTGCAACAAGCAAGATATCCTAGCTCCAACAGAGTGTCTCATAGAAGAGTGAAACTACAAGAGAAGGGATTTTTGAAACCCTAACCTTGCCCTAATACTATGTAGAAAGGTGACTTAATGAGAGATGGTGTGCCGGTGGAACCCAAAGCACCCTCTAAATTGATTTATCAAAAAATGAACTCAAAACTTCTTTACAAGAGAGACGGGATCTTGTATTAATACTAGACCCCAAGAGTTCTTGAACTACTAACAAGCAAACCTAAAAAGTAAGGGCATGTCTACAAAGATATAAAATGTAAATGTTTTTCTATTAAGTGTTGTCGACAACAATCAGTGAAAATATGATTGGATAAAAAATTTCTAAGGTATTAATGGGCTTCAGTACAATAAAAAAAATTATGAGAAAGATGAGCATGATTAGTACAAAAGGTTTTGCATGTTAAAAGGTATTGACTTCAATTAAGTATTTTCCTTTCAAGAGACATACGTCTATTTGCGTGTTGCTTGTTATTATTACTTTTAGCAGCATTCATATATGGTCGGTTGGAAGAACGAATTTACATACAATAACTAGAGGGTTTTATAGTTCAAGATCAGGAGTGCTTAGTAAAGTACTCTTTGTATGGCTTAAATAATCTCCAATATACTGATACAAAAGATTTTGTAATTTTATACTAAGCTATAGTTACTTTAGAAGTGATTCTATAGTTTCGTATCATTGAAAACCTTTATATGAGTTGTTTGTTTACTTGTTATATGTAGTTGAAATCATAATATTTATCAAAAGTAAATCAATCAAAAATCTCAATTGAATGATCAATTCAAGATGAAAAATATTAGAGCAAGAAAAAAAAAATAATAATATAGAGAAAAGAACTCAAGGTTGTACTTGTCATAAAAATAATACAAAGAGAAGTTGCTGAAATTATTTGACAAAAAATTATAACATTGTAGCCATTATTTTCAAGTCATTTAATAAAATTTGTTGAATATTCATCAAAGAAATAGAATTAGATAGGACGTACAATGAAAGTTCTATATGCAAGTGTAGTTCATAGCATAATGTATGCTAGAGTATGCATTAGACTTGATATTTGTCATGTTATTAGTATGATTGGTAAGTACATGAGAAATCTTATGAAGGTCCACTAGAAGGGTGTAAAATAGATACTTTTTTAACCTCTAAGGTACCAATGTGGGCATGTTATTTAAGAAATAAAATATTGATGACAATTAATTTGTTGGATATATTTATTCAGATTATACTAGTGATATAAATTATATTAGTTATATCTTTACTTTATGGAATTTTTTTATTTGTTGAAACTTTATTTTAGACCTACTATGGCTTTGTCAATGACAAAGTCAAAATATATGACAGTGGCAAAGGGAGTTAAAGAAGACATGTGGCTAAGAGTTTTAGTTGACAATTTGGGTTTAGTGCAAAAAAAGATTCTTATGTACTATAGTAGCTACAATGTCATAAAGTTAACTAAAAATGAAATGTATATAAGAAGATTGAATACATTGATGTCAAGTGTCAATTTATTTGTCATGTTATTTTAGAAGGTACTACTATAATATAAAAAGGTCATATAGTGAAAATCCCAATAGATACACTAACAAATCATATTTCTTCAAAAAATCTAAAGTACTTAGGCTTGATCAATTTACAAAACATATGAAGATTGCTTCGATAATAGTGTTGGTAATTATTATGATCATGGTGGAGCTTGACGATTGATATAGCTTATGGAAATGAACCACTTAAATAATTTTTCTACTGTGGGTCATCTCTCACCGACGAGGTGGACATGAGAAATGGCATATTTATGCAAATCAGTTTTTGTCAAAATGGGCCATCATTTGTCTTTTATTGAGGAATTTCTCCTGTCTGTTGGTTGTTCGAGAAGGTCTTTCTTGAGCCACTATAAAAGGGGCCTCTCTAAATTATTGAACTCTAATAATGAAGAAAAAGTGAGATTGAGAGAGAGAGAGAGAGAGAGGTGGACTAGAGAATGAACTGTGAGTGTTCTAGAGAGACAACCACCAGTCTTTCTAATTTAGGAAAGAGTGCCACTATTCTAATTGAGGAAGGGGCATCAGTAGTCATCTTGAGAAGGCAACACTACTAGTTCTATTGAGGGAGTGTTGCTTGTCTACTTGGCTATGTAGGGAGCACCACTTGTTCTTTAGCCAAAGAATGGAATGCCAAATGTGTTGTCAGCTGAGGAGGTGAAAGCCACCAATTATTATGGCCTGGTTGAAAGGGAGAGCACATGTTGTTTCCTTTATAATAGATAGAGGAGACCCATTATCTATTCCAATTGTTTTGGGTAAAATTCTCATGGAAATGTTTACACATCTAAAAAACTATGTCATTATCATTTCCCATAGACATAGGATGATAATCTCCAAGTGATGTAAATCTTCACGTAAGTGCCTTTGTGTGGGTTGATTTTCTTCTCTCTCCTTATTTTGTGTTGTGCAGATCAAGTAAGCCTTGCTTTCTTAGTTGAAATGATCATTAGAGGTCACAATAGTTAGGAGAGCCAAATGTGAAGACTAGGGGGTTAAAGCTAGAAAAGGTGATATTAAAGATAGATCAAAGATGTTTGATGGCATGGAGAAAAGCTAAGAAGGGAGACATATAGGGGAACTCATTGTTGCTTTCAATTTGTGTGAGGATGCCAAGAGCACCAATAGAGAATCAGTGCTCAATTATTCTGCTATCCTCCAGTTTAACTTAAGGATGTACATAGATCAAGAAAGAGAGGTTGAATTAGTTGACTACTAATCCTTAATTTAAGCAACTCTCTCCATAAACTTCAGTCTCCTCCATAAAATCTTGGCTTGTAATTTTCTTAGATCAATAGGTATGACGCAAGAATTTTTAAAGTGGTTCAGCTCCTTGCCTACATCTATGATAATTATTTATCTTTTTAGGCTCCACTTGAGTTAAATAAAGATTTAATGAAAAAATTATTTCACAAAGAATATGAAAAGTTTCACCATGGGTTATTTTACACAAGGTAATGTTGACTTGGAGTGCATCCAAAATTCTGCTGAAATAATTCTTGTTTATTTCTATTATCTTCTTATCATAAGGATGTTAATAGAAGATAGAAGGTGTTGTCACTTTGATCTGGTCAATGATGACCATTGATTGCATGAAAATGGTTCAACTAGTTACCTTCATGTCACTTGACTAGTATAAATTACTTCTCAATTTTAACTAATTTTTCTACATAAAATATATCACAAAGCTTTTAAGATTATAAAGAGCTTAGAGATGGTTGTTCAGCACTAATTAGCCATTGGAAATGTGTTATAGTTATAGAGAAGTTAAATTTGAAAATATTCCTTATTTTACACTATCTCCTAATTATATTTTATGAAATAATATTTTTTTTGAATTTTTGCAAAACCAATATGATATATCTTTTAAGGATTAAAATATCTTCATAAAAAACCAATACATGGTTTGTTAAAGTTTTATATTCAAACTATATTGATTCAGTCTAGTCCAATAAGAATATGATATCATTAAAACATAATCAATAATATGTGTCCAAATAAAATAAGGATTCAACAATCAAAACTTATTCAAATCACCTCAAATAAAATAAAATTATCAAGTAAACATGTTGAATCACTATTCAATATTTATAATCATAGCTTTATTGCTTCAGAATATTTAAAATCGTTTCGTGATGATGTTATAATATGGGTGCATAATAGAATCTTGAATAATGAGGCTCAAAAGCATTCCTTGAGTTCTTATTTGGGTATTTGTCATTATTGCTTTGAATTCTTCTTTAATTTATGTTTAATTAAAATCTAAATCACATTAAAAAATTATTTCTTCATTGATTAATTTAATGATAAATTAACATAATTTAATCTTTAACTGGTCTTGTGTGTGTTTTTCATCATCAAAATAATGTTTGTATATGCTCCAACATCTCTGAGTTGATTCCAAAGAGAACTTATGAAGGAGACATTTCAAGGTGTTGTAAAGAGGGAGAAGGTGGCAACTTGATGGCATTAGACAAGGTGAGTGAGTTACAACACTATAAAAGTGTGCCTATTAGACAGGAAGAAGAAGATGCAACATGGTGAAGAGTTGTGTACAACATGGCAGCATATCTTTTTGACGATTCTCCCACGCCTTGCAAAGTAGTTGCAGAAGCAGCCAACAACAACTATTTTTCCCCATTTCATCATGTGTCATATTATGATTTTTTATCAATGATATTAGGCACTCATAGTCAACCAATGCAATGATCAAAATTTTAATAAAGCAATAAACCACATAAATCATGTGTTCACAAAAATGTGACACAACACATAGATGATATATAAATAGGGTTTTGTGCTCATATAACATTGGGTTTTTTGGGCCTCCAAAAATTATAATCTTTCCTTAATTTAAAAAAAAATAAAGTTAATTATAATTATATTAATATCCTTAAAATAATTACCCAACTAGTAATAGTGGGAATTAATGTCTATAACTAGGGTTCTATACTCTCAAAAGTGATTCCCATACTTGTCACCAACTTGTCTATCCTATTTATTATTATTCCCATGGTTGGTTATATTACCACTTATTGCCACCCACTATCTATTACTAACTATTTGTGGTAGTCATTGACCAAAGTGCCCAATCAATGGCTAAATTCTTCAAAACCAACTTTATTATAAAGTCGCATTTATCATGGAGGCCTTTTGTCCAAAGTCTATCAACTGAAAAATTGTATATGTGTGTTATTTTAAAATTATATATCTGGCCATATATAGTTTTGAAAATATATTTATGTATTATTTCTTCCTTTTATAAATTGAGCAGGTCCAAAAAATTATCTGAGCGGAAGAAGTTCCTAGGCAACCTACCCTAATCCATCGGTGCTTGGGGAGGTCTGGCCCAATCTAGTATCGGGCCTCCATGACTTATAGGCCTGCCACTATGGGCCATGTTCGGGCCGGGCCCGCTCTTTACAGAGTTTCATGTTCGGGCTCACTTTCCGGGCCTCTATGGGGGTGGGGTCCTAATCGGGTCCGGATGAAACCAATTTGAACCCCGATTAACTTTGCGGAAAGTCTTCTTGGTTGAGGGGGGGGTCGGAGGCGGAGGAAGGAGACAGATCGCCAGCTCCAATGGCTGGTCTGCTGGCGTGGGCGGCCGACGTGGTGGGCGGCGGCCACGGCGGCGCCGGCGGCGAGGATGGGCAGTTCCCGGAGGTGGTATTTACTCCGGATCAGGAGAGGCACGCGCGGGAGCTGGACCAGAAGGCAGCGTCCCTTAGGCGCTCTATTCAGGATCTGCGCCGAAGGATCCCGCCCGCTGACATTGCACAGCGCCTACCGCACCTCCACGCCCATTCTCTCGCCTCCAACGCCGCACTTGCACTTCAGTTGAACGCCCATTCCACAACCCGGCAGCAGGTAGCGTCTTCACATGGTGGATCAGACAGGGATCGTTGGGGCCCTTAGTTTTTCGAGGCCAGATTTGTCCTTTTCCCGCCTTTAAGGTGTAGTCGGGCCTTGTATATTTCTTCTATTAATTTTCAACTTGGAATGGGATATTATTTCGTTCAGATGGAATTTCGATTACGCCCTCCTCTGGTTTGTAGGGATTCTACGTCTTTTCTCAGCTAATTACAGTCAACGTCCACCTGAAAATCGGCTTGGATAATCTGGATTTCTTGTCTCATTTTCTCTTAATTTGCATTTTCTCTTCTTCTAGGTACAACTAAGAGAGGAAACTTTACAAGAGGAAAACACTGCATATGAAAAGGCTATATTAGCATGTCAAAAGAAAATTCAAGAGAAGTTGCAAGAAGCAAGTCTGCTCCAGAATAAACTAAAGGTTGGTTATTTAAAGTTCCGATTTAAATGCTTATTCATTTCTTGTTCTAAATCCCATCCCATGGAAGATAAATTTGGTGTGTTAATTTCTCTTCTGAATAAATGGTTTTAATTCTTATCAAAGTAATTTCGTTGCGGTTGTCACCATTCTTTTACAAAATATCTTTTTGTGAGAGTAACAGAGGACCTGCTTAACAATAAAGATTTTGAAAATTTACATGTGTTGTAGTTTTCATATCTTTTTGTAAATTGGCATTGGATATCTGAAATTGCAAATGGAAGCCACACCGAAATTATTTTTCTCTGTCAATATCCCCATGAAATATTCTTGGTCCAGGTATCTACGAAAAAAAAGAATAAAAAAGATGAAGTATGGCACAAATGTCATGGCATACTGCTTATAATTTGCGGTTAGAGGTCCACATTTGAGGTTCACAGCTCAGTTCTATGATCTTCCTCCTTCCACCGTGTGGATTGAACCCGTTTCCTTACTAAATATAATTCTATAGGCTCCAATAGATCAGATCAAGAGTGATTCCTCACCTATCCTGTAAGGGGGGAGGCTCGGGTTTAGATTTTCTTGGTAGAGGCTGTGTACTCGCAGCTCTGAGCTGTGAGTACTCCAGTATTTAGTCAATGTTTTGTAGTCATTCTTCGAAATGCATCACCGTTATCTTTTTTATTTCCACCCCTAAGGGTTCAAGTTGCTCCATACGTAGGTGGTTTAGCTCTGATCATTCGGTTAAGAATTATTGTGGTAGTATGGGTATTAAAAATTACAGGAAACCTGCTCTTGTACAAACCTTGCTAAATCTATGCATCATCACTCAAAGCATGAATGTCAAGATAGATTGGATGAAGATAGTTGGGGTAATCTTCTCTTCATTTGAACAAAACAAGTGCTGGTCTAGTCTGTTGAAAGAAGCGCAGTTTCCTATACTTTAAAGTCCCAGAGGAAGTGAAAAATGTACGAATGTAATTAACTGACTGAATCTAGTTTCCCATACGATGGTTTGCATAGTTGATCGTTTCAGATCATCTCTGATACAGCTCCAGTATTGTGGTCTAGGAACCTAATTACTCCTATAAATCCATAACTTAAGAAGAAAGAAACTTTAGGAGTAAACTGGGTCATTTGATTCATGTTAACGTCCTTAAGTAAGACAGACACAAGCCTTTCAACCTGGCACCAGCACTGCCAGTTTGTGATCTGATATTTTGTGGCTGAAAGTGCATTAGGAAGCTGGGGGAACCTCCAACATTTCTGTCCACCATTTCAATCTTCCAGAGTTTTCTCTTTATTGCAAACAGGTATTTCATAGCATGATCTACAAATTGCACCAGAGAACAGGAGACAAAAAGCCTTCTGATGTGCTGCTGTCACCATAGAAGAAGATGGAGGGGTGCACTAGCCAGAGGAGGAAGAGAAGAGAAAGAGGGTAAGGCAGTTATGCAAGGAAAGTCAATCAATGTGTAAAAATCATCTCAATTAGATTTTATTTTTTTAATAACTACGTTTGTTCAACACCTTAAGTTGATTAATAATTGATAAGGTTTATCACGAAATTAGTGGAGAACAGAAACGATTCCTATTGGATTTCATGGGATATAATTAGTAGATTTTGTGCCTATAACTATTAGGAAGAACTTTATACTAATAATATTTGTATTGCATGATCTAATGTTTGCTTGGTTGGTCTCTATGCATAGTGCCTGGGATATTTTGTAAACAATTCTTTGTGTTAGGCCAACTTGGTTCTTTTCAAGCTTCATAAATCTGACAATTGAATTTATCTTCAAGAATTCAGAATAGTGTACTATATGCTAGCATGCATTATGTAAACTGAGTTGACTTATTTTGATTGTTTTATTTTTATTTGACATGGTTCAACTACTTTCAACATTTGTTACTAAACGTATGAATTATTCTTCCCGTCCAAAAATTTTCTTTCTCAGGAACTGGACTTGGCTGAGGGGGAGTTGATGGCTAAACTGGAGAAACAACAGGCTAGTTTAGAAGATAATCAATCTAGAGCATCCTTAATAGGTTCTGAGGACACAGAAAAGATTCATCTGAATCGGAAACCTTCCAGAACTGTCTTGTTGGAACAGTTAGATGAAAAGAAAAATGAGTTGGTTAGTCTATGCCCTTGTCTCATGTGAAGGTCATACATCAAATAGTAAACTATTGACAATGTTCCATAATGTTTATAGAGTACGTTTGAAATTACAGTTCGTGGTCTGGAAGACAAATGGGCTGCGATTCAACAAGATTCTCTGAGACAGCCTTCATCAGGTATGCTCAACAACAGTATGGCAATTTGTTCTCCCTGTAAAATGGATGGATTTCAGATTTGATCTTTTTGAGTGTTACCTGATTCTTTTTTAATGTTCTTGGTGTCCTTATTCAACATCTTCTATTAATACAATCATTGAGCCCCGATTCTTTGCTGTTAGTTAATGAACTTGTTACTAGTGGAATCTTTATTGCAAATAGGTTGCCCATGGTTTCTGGTTGTAAGTTTTATGAATAAAACTGTAGAGCATAAACATTTTCTTTGATGATCACTGAAATGCCGCAGTACTCATGATAATCACTGAACCAGCCCTCATGCCGCAGTACTCCTGATAATCACTGAAAACTGTTATCGACCATTTACTCTGCATTCTCCATTGATCATGTTATGAAGTAAAAAACTTCTTTTTTTAGAACTTACCGCAGTTGTGAAAAAAGTTCTCAAGTTTGTGCGAAGTTCATATCATTTGAAAAGCTTATACCTCTGCAACTTGAAGGGGTCACTGCTTGGGAAAATTTCTGCTTTGGCTTGTTGTTTTTCACTCAGACATGTATAAATACGGTAAATATTTTATAAAACACCAAAAGAGATAACATTGATGATTAGCTGATATACCCCTAAGTTGGACGAGTAATTTCTGGAAATCATTAGTTGTCCAAATATTAGTTGACAAGGTGTCAGTTCCTCAAGCATTTGCTCTTTATGGAGTCCTTTTTTGCAGACAGTGATTAAGGGGGGTCCCCAAGAATTTGCTCTTTATGGATTCTCCAAGAATTTGCTAAAAATAAGTACGATACATGCCAATCAAGACTACTGATACGAGTTGTACCTCTTGTTATTCTAATCAAGAGTGCCGAATGTGAGGATGAACGTTAATAACTTGATTGCATTCTCACCTGGTGAGTAAATATAATTGAGAGAGGGAGTTCGAGAGGTCAAAGAGATAGACCCAGTGAAGACAATAGGCAGAAGGCATTATTGGGTTGTCAGAGAGTGATAGAGCAACATGGTGGGCTACTGAGGACCATCGAATTGTGTATAAGAGCAACCTTTCCATCCAGGAAGCAGATGGGTCATTGCTAGTGAGGATTATTCATAGTTGATGGAAAGGGCAACCTTTCTATCTCAAGGGAGCAGGATGGGTGAATACGACATCAGAGTCAATCATGCACTGGCCAAGGTCTGCTATCAAAGGAAGCAAGGGTGGACTCAACAAATAATCTATTAAGATCTTCCTGCTGATTTTGGTAGATCGCTAGGTTCGAGTTGATATTTGACTATTTTGGCTATTTATAGAAAAATTTACGGTCTATTTAAGGCCCTTGGATATCCCGACCGTTTTTTATACCTTTTAGAATCATTCGTGGCCGAAATTCCTGCCCATTAGTTATGGGGGCTGTTGGGACTTCTAGCCCAGATCTAAGAAGGCCCTTCCGAGGCCTCATATTCCTCCTATAAATAGGAAGCTGAACTCAATGTCAAGGTCCTACTCCGGTGTGAAATCAGGGTCCCAAACTGTGAAGTTGAGGTTGAGGGTTATTTTATCCTTGTTTGATCCCTAACTTTCCTTGGGCTGTGTGGGATCTCTACATCGTCAAGAGAAGCAAAGTCAGTGACAAGCCTTCGCACACAAGATCAGGGTATAATCCTTCTCAATCATATTCTGGATCCCTCATCTAACTCGCTATTGATGTTCTACTGGTTATACTTATCTTTAACTTCCCACCACCCCTACCTCCATGGCCCTTACTCTAGCGCATCCTTAACACATCATTAGTAGCCACCCTAGCCAGAGGAAGTTTCCTTACTTCCTGTGATCTGAATCTTGTTTTTAAAGCAATTCACCCTGCTAGTGACACTAACTGGAAAATTAATCCTAAAGTGAATACTCAAAGAGAATGCTTATTTGGTTGCTCAACCAGTTTTTAAATTGATATTTTCTAGTCTCTCTTAAAATCAGTCACATGTATGGTGCGTTCTCCATCAATGGGCATTCATGGGAACGTACAATTTAGAAAGGCTGTCAAAAGGGTGATCTAGTCCCTTGCCTACTTTCTATAATATGAGGGATGGATAACACAAGGGGAACTGCACATTCATTTTTTCCTCATTGGCTGATGACCGTCTAAGCATCTAATGTTGCTCTATCACTCTAATGTTGAGGACAGTTCTTCAGCCATTGATTGGATCCCCATCTAATGTTGTGTCACTGTGGTCCGGACTTGAGTAGTAGATAATTCTCGCCAACGCAAATGGGTACGTGATTTGTCAACGTTTAGTTTAAAGGAAAGTCCATACAACTAGGGACTTTTTGTCTCATTCCACATGGACTTTTTGAAAGGATTCCAAACAGAAAAAGTTTATTCATCTTGTTTGGAAAACCTTTTTCCCCACATTTTCTTTCTATTTATTTTTTTTAAGCACTTAATTGATGTTACCAGCTCATGCAAATTATTCCGTAGCACTAGTTTGTGCTAGTGAGTAAGTGCCTAATTACACTTGGACATAGGCGTCAATGTAATTGAGAAAAAGCTAAAAATACTTCACCTTCTGTTTAGAACAGTGATTGTTCTTGTTGCGCTCTCAATGTTTGTTTCATATTGAAAATCGCCTCTGCTAATTTACCCTTTTTTCAGTTCGTTGGAATAACTGACAGATATTTTCTTATGAGCAGCTCAAAGAGAGAAGTCTTTGGAGAAACAGCTTCATAGTCTGATTGAGCAACTAACAGCAAAGCAGGTAAGTGTTGGGTCTCATGTTGTTGGACGTTTACCTGTTAGAGTCTCTGATGTTTAATTCTTTCTATTTTTTGAGTCGCATGTTCCTGGAAGTTTACTTGTGCAGCTTTAAAAATCACAAATTTTTCATGTTAGATTCTCTCAGATCTCGTGTTCTTGACTAATTTATTCGTGCATTGTCAAAATTTCATAATATTCTTGCTACACTCTTTCTGGTTGCTTTCAGATCGCATGTTCATATATCCATTAGAAACGCCAAAGTTTCTAGCAATTTTTTTCCTGGGCTCTTGTAGTTGTGATGTTTTTGAAAGATTTACCTGTGCATCTCTTAAAATCTCCAAATGTTCTCCCGAAATTATTTATGATTCTTTTGCATGCAATGTTCTTCTGCATCAGTTCAAATCTCCAAAATTTATTGCTAAATTCTCTCTGGATTCTTTTACATTTCATTTTCCCGAAATATTCCCAGTTATTAAAATTTCCAAATTTTCTCCCCAAGTTCTTTCTGGACTCTTCATAGATCCCATGATCTGGGGAAAACTTACCTGGGCATCTGTTAAAAACCCCGAATTTCTCACCAAACTCTTTCTGGACTCTTCATAGATCCCATGATCTGGAGAAAACTTACCTGGGCATCTGTTAAAAACCCCGAATTTCCCGCCAAACTCTTTCTGGACTCTTCATAGATCCCATGATCTGGAGAAAACTTACCTGGGCATCTGTTAAAAACCCCGAATTTCTCACCAAACTCTTTCTGGACTCTTCATAGATCCCATGATCTGGAGAAAACTTACCTGAGCATCTGTTAAAAACTCCGAATTTCTCGCCAAACTCTTTCTGGACTCTTCATAGATCCCATGATCTGGAGAAAACTTACCTGGGCATCTGTTAAAAACCCCGAATTTCTCACCAAACTCTTTCTGGACTCTTCATAGATCCCATGATCTGGAGAAAACTTACCTGGGCATCTGTTGAAAACCCCGAATTTCTCGCCAAACTCTTTCTGGACTCTTCATAGATCCCATGATCTGGAGAAAACTTACCTGGGCATCTGTTAAAAACCCCGAATTTCTCACCAAACTCTTTCTGGACTCTTCATAGATCCCATGATCTGGAGAAAACTTACCTGGGCATCTGTTGAAAACCCCGAATTTCTCACCAAACTCTTTCTTCCCGGCCCCCAGGCTCAAGCTGAAGGTCTGATAGGCGGCATAAAGGAGAAAGAACAGGACTTGGAGAGACTGAGCGTGCTTTGGAGGCGACTTGAGGCTGGAAGCTCCGAAGAAACTTCTGCGAGGAATCGGTTTGTGAGGAGCCACCGGGGAGGATCTTCTTCTTCTTCCTCCTTGGATCAACCGATGGAAGCCCCACACAGATACTTGAACAATGGCAGGGTCGAGAGAGAGCAGAAGCTCGTCGTCCTCAGGTCCACTTTCGTTATCTATATCTTGGCTCTGCAGTTGCTCGTCTTCATCAAAATCTCCTTCTGATCATCTCAGTTTTCCTCTCCCAGATTTTTCTTTCCGCCATTTGTAATGTCGCTCTGTGTTGCCCCAACCATTATAAAACCATTCACTGTGAATTCAAGATTACCCACAACAGAAGATCCTACTGTCTCACGCCCACTCCCTCCATTCTTCTGCCATGAAAACCTAGTAGTATCCATTGTGAAAGGCCCTCTGATCTAACCATGATGAAGGGAGACATGGCCTAGAGAATTAAGTAGGAGCAAGCGCAGGATCTAATTGTTATTTTCTGCTGTATTGCTTCCCATGTGGAATTAACTGGTTATTATTGCTTCCCAGATTTCTTCGGAATGTGCAAGATTATAGTCTGAATATTAAGATGATATGACCTTCACATCATATGATAAAAAAATTAAAATTAATGTTATATTTATAATTTTAAAATCCAAGACTTGGAAGGAATTTAAATGATTTTTCCTCGTCTTATTACATTATGCAGCACTAGTATATTAAAGGCATTGAGGGAAAATTTTGGAATTGCATTTTAAATAATTTATATTAGTTTGCTACCATTTCAAAGTAATCGGTACTTCTCTGGCTTTAGAGAGCCAGATGCACTCCCATGTTTTCCGACAAGAATCACATTACCTCCCTTCATAACACTCAGGGTACGTTACCTTCATGAGTAATTTTTTGAAAAACCTTGTATGAGACCATTTTTATGCATATCCACATCCATTTTGAACAGGAGCACGGTGTTGGTGTTGTTGATTGCATTCTTGTCCTGCACCTATCAAAATATGGTCACTTTTACTATGCAATCTTAAGTCTACACCCTTGAGAGATGATCATAGGCCTAGTGGCTCTTACATATTGAAGGCAAAATCTTAAAAGTCTGGTTGTTTCCATGAGCTGAGAATTTTGCAATCAATAAAAAGGAGATCAATATTTTTCATGATTCTTTCACACAAGTTAGTGTCTATTAATCTCTAAAAGCTCATAAATTATTGCCTATAATTAATATTGAATATTTTTTCCAAAGTTCATGATGAAATAAATTCTATGTAAATAATCCTATATTTGAAATAATTAGTAGCGACTTGAATAGCTGCAGAAATAATTGCAAGTGTTCTCACAAGGCTCTACTTAATATTTCCAATGTGGAATTTTTCTAATAATGTGTTGTCAAAAAGGGAATACTTTCCCATGGAAATCTTGCTTGGAAGAGCCTGCCTTTTTATGCATGGGTTAGTATGTAATATGTTGGTAATGAAACTTTGCAAGAGTAAAGTGCAGTAATATCTTTTTTTCACATAAAGTGAGAACATAGAAAAATTGTTGAAAGCATATATGTTTACATCATCAGCTGACAATCTAAAGTTTAATGAAGTATATATGCTTATCCATAACTTTATTTAACTGCTAATATTTATGATTCATTAGAGTTTCAAGGCAAAAATACAGAAAAAATCACAAAACATCAATTTCACTTGAAAGTTAACAAGATCTTCAGAAGAGTAAACATTTGATGAAGAAAATCACACATTGATCATGATAAAATTGATGGACCATAACCATCAATTTTCAAAAAAATTAATGAAAATTTTAAATCAATCATCTCTCTCGTACTCTTGGATGGGTTGAGCTTCTCTTGAATTATAACAAAATCTTGGCTTGTGAAAGAGGACCCATTTTCTTGGGTTTTTATGACAAAAGGAAGAGGCTTTAGAGGGGTTCATTCAACTAAACCTATAACAGTACGTTCAATCCATTCAATAATCATCTATTATTTATATAATTATTTGGATTTATTTATATTGCGCTTGGGATTCATTTACATTTTCTCCCCCCTCAATTATCCTGGTCACATGGCAAATTCCCGAATGGGGTTAAAAATGCCGGGTTCATGACACGTGGACTCGAACCGGCCTGCGCCTAATTTTTCATCTCATATGATTCAAATAGTTTATAAAATAATAAATATTGACATGACTGTTGCCTGGCGTCAAGTCTGTGCGCTGGGCCAACCTGCAGAAGCCACCCTGCAACAGCCGCGTGTCCCTTCGCACGTGTGGTGAACACGTGGACAGTCTATACTGACCTCCCACCACAGTACCGTACCAGCCTGGGCTTGGCCGGGCCCGGTACCGGGCTTTGAGCTAACGGGCCGGCCCGGCTCTACACTGCCTAAGCTGACCCATAAGTTGGAAAATAATAATAAAAATCTTAGTGCAAGGTTCGACCGAGAGTCTTAGTAGAGGTCAAACCTTTTCTATATATGGTAGGGAGGTTGGAATTAGAACATAGAGTATAAAATTTTATAAAGAATCTGGAGAGTCACATCATTAGCCAAAGCAACCAAAATAATTAAAATAACAATAACTTGAATGGGCAATTTTTGCCTAAAGTGTTAAGAAGTCCGCCTCCATTTTCTATTAATGGTGGGCCGGCTCGATTGAACACCGCTTTTGGTGGGGACAGCTGGAGAAGATCCAAGAGAACCATCTAATGGTGACCGGAACTGTTGACTCGGGGTTCTAAGAGGGGCGACCCTTCGGGTTGACTTCCAGCAATTTCACTGCGGAGGAATCAGGACAACCGAATTAGATCGACTCATGCACATCTTGGGGCAGTTTTTAGAATGACGGCTGAGATATCGTATGTCCATTAATTACTTTGTATTTTTCTATTTTAGGTGAATAAGTGAGTCGTTAGGACAACTCTCGCGGCTCTTTTGAAGGACCGGCCCCTCTAGTAAATGCGCATGAATAAAATGAAAGGACAGCGCCGGAGCTGACCCGTCGTCGACTATCGGCGTCGCCGGGGACATATGCCCAGTGGGTCAACGGGCCATTTCACTGAATAGGTTACAGCCCGGGGGGCCGTGCTTTACGTGGCGGTAATCTCACTGCGAGTAACGGTATCAACTCTCTCTCTCTCTCTCGCTCGCTCACTCGTTCGCTAGCGGATACCCTGGTACGGACATTTTCTGTATAAATCCCACGTGTAGCAAAATTAGTGGCATCAACGTAATACTTACTTTATGAAAGTAGTTTTGCTATTTAAAACGAGGTCTATAAAATGACGGGTCTCCGGAGCTGTGGCCGATGAATCCACATCACCTAGAGAAGAAGAAGCAGATTAGTGTCTCGCCGGTGGTCTTCTCCGGCGCCGGGGAAGCTGATCAGCCAGAAGATGCCGATGGGGAGCAACCTAGCGCGGCTGCTGGGGAACCTCAAGTCGAAGCTCAAGGCGATGCGGCCGAAGAAGCCCTACGACAAGGTGGAGAAGAGCGACAGCATGAGAATGGAGATCCGCAGCCGGAGGGCGCGGAAGCTCATCGCGGAGACTCTCAAGATCGCCGACTCCCCCGGCCACAGGAACTTCGCCCTCTGATCAACGACGCCGCGGCCGCCGCCGCTGCAGTGCGCTTCTCCTTTCTCTCTCTCTCTCTCTCTCTCTCTCTAGTCCATCGCCGGGATCTTTCGTTTTCTCCTCGGAACCCCTTCACTGGTCCCCGCGATGCTCTCCGATCTAGTCGGCGGTGTCCGGAAGGTTGGCGACGAGTCATGTTTCTTTTGAGTTTTGTGTTTGTTGAGAATCGCGACAACGGAGGCACCGCTCGTCCGGTAATCGAGAGATCTCTGCGTCCGAGCCTCTTCTCCGTGGCGGAACGGATTCCCCTGCGGCTTGCTTGCTTCACCAGGTTGCCGCTGCTGCTTTCCGGTTCTCCGAATATCTTTCAGGCGAGCGTCTCCACCACCGCTCCGCGCTTGGGAATCCTCGGCGCCTCCCTACCACGGGAACGATTTGGCCGCAATCTCAGCATGACCGCCGTCACATGCGGCTTCTGAGATAACCGATTCTTCTGAAGGCGAATTCCCACGAGTGATCTTGCGTTCTCTATCTGTCCCCCTCACCGTCTCTTTCGCTTTCACTTTCGCTCTCTCCATCTGTCTGTCTGCCTGTCCCTCTCTCTCTCTTTCTCTTTCTCTCTCCCTCTCTCCCTCTCTCCCTCTCTCCCTCTCTCCCTCTCCCTTCCTTCCTCTCTATCTCTCTCTCCTCTCTCTCCCTCTCCCTTCCTCCCTATCTCTCTCTCCTTTTCCTTCCTTCCCATCTATCTCTTTCTCTCCTTCTCACTCCCTCTCTCTATCTCTCCCTCCCTTCCTCTCTCTCTTTCTCTCTCTCTTTCTCTCTCCTTCTCGCTCCCCCTCTCTCTCTTTGTTGCTCTCGATCGCACGTGTGTATGAGAGAGAGAGAGAGAGAGAGAGAGAGGAAAAGAAGGGTTAAGGGGAAACGAAGTGGGGGAGTGGGTTGCCGTTCGGGTCATGGGGTGACGTGGGACTCCACCTTAGCTTGGGCAGCTCACCCACTCACAAGAAGCCACGTCACGAATCCGCATCAAAGAACTTCCTTACGGTGACTGCCGGCAGTTTTTATATAAAGGAAAAGCGATAATGTCGTGTACAAGGTGCCAATGCGCCCGGCAACCTGACGCCATTCACCCTCATTCTACGTACACTCTGACAGCATGTAAGCCTCTTCCTCCCTCCTCTCTTGCTCTTAATTGGTTGATTGGGCTGAATCCTGGTGGATTTCAATATTCTCAACCTCTAAGGTCAGCTGATGTTGTCTACATTTAATTATAAAATAATATAATTGGGAAGTCAACGATGCTACAATAAAGAGAGTCACATCCACGGTCAATGAGTTGACATACTAGATTACAAGTGCATCATCCCTTTATGTTTAGCGCTAACCAAATATTTGGATTTAGGCAAAAAAGTCCTTAAATATCTAGATTGAGAAATAACCTACAAAAGAATACCAAAACCCTTTTACAGGATTAGTAGAAACATCTTTTACATTATCTCTCTATCACTCTATTTTCTCTTATGACTTTTCTGAAATAGGCAAAAGAAGCAAAATCACTATAATAAAATTTAAAAAGTGATATTTACATAACTTTGTATTTAAATGCTCACTATTTGTGGCTAGAAGGGCACTTATTGATCTTGAGGTAGTACCTTGTGAAAAGCAATCCTAGCCTTCTTCTTACCTGCACAAGAGTTGACCCACTTAAGATTCCACTCTTTCTATGCAGGTACTTTGAAAAACTTTCTTATCTTCAATTTTGAGCCATGCCACTGAGTGCATTTTTCATTATAAGCTCAAATTCTAAAAATAAGGCCTAAGTTGTTCTCAAGCTCTTGACATTGTTAAGTTGGCATCACATTACTATTGTCGTACAACATGAAAGTGAGAAAATAAGAATAAATATTATTTTTTTGATCAAAGAGATAGAAAAGACATCTTATTCACTTTCTCATACTTCATATTGAAGGGCTTTTTCTTGTTGATTTAATGGTAGAAGACATAAGAATTATTAAAGCCCTTAAAAATGAAGTTTCCACTCTCCTTTCTACAAGGTGGATAAAGCGAAAATTAGGGTGTAGCACCATTCAATGAGAAAGACAATGACATAGCAAGAATTGCATGAAAAAATAAATTTAGTCCTTAAAACTCTACAAGATACAAAATTTTGACAAAGAAAAGTAGTCATGAATCCAAAAAACATGAACCTTCAATCTTTGAATCCTCAAGAACTTACTAGAGCAACCTTCAAATCCATAACTTTTGATAGTTTGTATATTTTTTTCATCAAACTTTATGTCATTGTTGTTGATTACATATCATAGGAATATCATATTGATAGTCCTGAAGCTACATTTTTTTATGTTAACATATAACTCATTTTGTTGTAAAACTATTAATGTGGCTCTCAAGAGATGGACATAATCTTCTTCTATAATGTTCAAATGAGTATTTAATCAAGACAATAGTAGTACATTTCTCAAAATATGTTTTTATTTTTCATTCACTATTGCCATAAACATGTTGGAAGTATTTGATAAATTAAATAACATCACTAGGTATTCATAAATGTATGACTTTGTCTTAAAGCCACTTTTCATTCATCACTTGCACAAATTCTAATTTGGTGATAACTACTTTCCAAATTAACCTTTGAAAAATATTTGAACTACAAAACTTGTAAACGTATCATAGTCTTGAAATTAGAAAAATGTATTTATCTAAAATCATGTTAAGTGCTTAGTTGTCTACACATGCATTAGCTTTCATCTTTCTTTGGACTAGTGATATAAAATTGAAAACATGTTCATGCTTTCTCTTATCAATCATCTTTGTAATAATTCTTCAAGTTGTTTCTTGTAGAATATGATTTTCTTCTAGACTCATTTTGTAATTTGATAAATTGGGTAAGCTTGTTCTCGAGATGAAATCAGTTTGATGTTGCATGTCTTTCATAAGTAGAAGATGAAATGATAAGTCTTGGATAATAGTAAACTCATATAACACCTTTCTTATAAGCTCAATTATAATTTCAGAAATTTGGTATGTTGAATTCAACTTTTTCATCCAAGTGGTGATAAGTTACTCTCTATCAATTAATATGACTTCCTTATGACAGTCTACAAAATCATTAACTTTTATTAGTTGATTGATGAATTTCTAACTAGTTCTATCCTATTGTGGAGAATTTCTATTTGTTCACACGTAGACCAACAAAGAAATCATATTGGAGAATGAGAGCAGGACCTCTTTAAATTTTAAAATATCAGTCTTTACCATTTCAACTATTAAATTCTTATTATTCTCTCTGTTGTTCTTTACATATTAACATTCACTTAAGAAGGTAATGGAGGAGATTTTCTCAACAACTATGTTTGATAGCACTTTCATAATATTTAGATGTAACAAAGTTAATGTTAGAAAAATAAAAAGGCACATGTGATGCTAATAAAGGTAGGGTTTTAATTTTGGAGTATTACAAAATAATTCAATAAAATATAAATATCTCTATTTTTTTACACCCTTTTTCTTCCTAGCCATTGCATCAGCTGGAATGACATAAAAATCTAATGTCATATGATGTGAATTACATCAAAATATATGGTACAATATCACACTTAGACACACTGATCCTAGAATCACAATAGAAAGTGAACTTTAGCAACTAATGCAACAAAGAAAGTAATGCAGTTTTAGAAAGCAGGGCATGGATAGATAAAAATAACATTGTAATCAAATCACCCTTGTAAAATATAACTCCAAGAAACCTCATGAATTGTATGCCTAAGGTGAATAGAAGAGAGTAATTAAAATCAAATTGTAGGTGTACTAAGAAGTATCAATATGAGCTGAATAAAACTTTAGAGATAAAATAAAATAATATAAAATGAATATATAAACAACGAGTGCATGAAGCATGATGTGACTTAGCTATTGTATAATAAATCACGTAAATTTAAAATTTATAGAACTAGAAAATACTAATTTTTAGATTTTTAGAAATATAATAGAACAAAAAAACTAATTATAATTTAATAAAATATTTCAACAATAGTAAGAAAATTTCAAATCAATCATAGGGATGTAAAATAATATTTAGTAATATTTTAGAATTTTCTTAAAAGAATATAAGTTTTTATAATTTTTAGACTAAATGATAAATATAAAATATATTTTAAATTTTTTTTTTAAAAAAAGGTGTGGACGTTAGGATGACATTAGTGTGCTGACAAATGTGGTTTAGATAAAAATAAAGTTATGTCCAATGATTCTTACATAAGTGATTATGGATAATTTAATTGATCAAATTAAAATCTATAAAAGTGAAACAAATCATAATTGAATGAAGAAGACTTTCAAAATTTGAAATCATACAAAGTATCACTAAATTAAGTGAGCAATAAATTGAAAGTAAGAAATCTAGAGTTTTAGCTTTGCAACAATGATCACTGAAACTCTGTGTTCAAAAAGATTATTAAACGATGTCTATAACTACAAAGGCTCTCTTTAGACATGGGTGACTTGGGCATTTACTGGATTTACTTTCGAAGTCTATAAATATAGATGAAAATTAAACTAGATCGAAATACTAAAATAAAGTTTTGATGTTGTGATGATGATGCATTAAAATTTTGAGCATTCAGAAGGATTGTCGTATGATGTCTACGGCTTCAAAAACTCTCTTTGGACAAAGACGAAGTAGGCAATTTCTAGATCTTCTTACAAAGTTTAAAAATCAATGAAGTGGGTCGACAAATCATCTTTGATGATCATCAATCAATGAAAATAAGTTGAATAGAGGTGGGGCACGTCTTAAGGAGCTTTATCCTTAGGTCCGCCCAATAAAAAGAGGCTCTTCATCATATCTAATATGATCTCAAGAAATGACAATTCGTCTCTCATCGAATCGTCATCTTTCTGATGACAACTAATTCGTCAATCAATCGGAGATCTTTTACTCGATGGACTCACGATCTTTTTATCTATAATCATTTGATAATTTTACTAATGATAGTCTTCAAATCAAGTTGACAAAATTTTTACCGATGATTGAATGATTCTAGCGACTTAATCCTTCACTAGAAATTTATAGGAAAATTATGATTTAATCAAATAAAAATATGAGTTTTGATACTAGTAGGATTTGAACCCTCACTAGTTACCTACTTATATGAGAGAGAATGAAATAAGTATGTGAATACTCTTATAAAGTGATGTCAAAGGTGTCTTGTTCTCATAAATAAGGGGTATTTTACATATTAAAATTATTAAAAATCTTCTAAGAAGGTGTGACCACTAATTTAGTCCTACATCAATTATTTCTTAAGTTTTGAGATGGATAAATAGTAACATAGGTTTTTTTCATCAATAAGCCCCTCTTTCACATGTGTACGACCACTTCTCGCCCCACACTAAACTGGCCACTGGTGACATGGAAGGGGAGTGACGCACATGTGTCCCCTACCCAATTCTTAGCCGCTCGAGCTCTTTACTTGCAGCTTTGTCTGACTACATTTTCGACCCGCTTGTAGGCTCAATTGGCTAATAGGTTCCTTTCTTTTTCTATCTTTTTATTTTATTTTATTTTATTTATCTTCATTTATCTTAAAAATAGGATATAAGAACTATATAAATTTACATAAAATTACATAATTAGTAAAAAAATTCACATTAACTAGCTAAAATTTACTTTTTATAATTTAACATAAATATAAGGCTATTTATCATGATTTAATACTTAAAATATATTATTAATTAATTATTAACTCATAATAATGAAGACTTATCAAAGCACTACATCATAAATGAACAAATGCAGACTAACCCAACTCTTGTAGTAGAGGGGATTGTAGAATAGACTAACATGTCTATCTTTAAATGGACATCAGTTTCTTCTGTACTTTTTTTGTTTCATCACTATTTGATCCACCCTTTTGAACAAGTTTCCATGTTGATTTTACTTATTAAGGTTAAATCCTTATTGGTTTGTATACCTAGATCTCTCTAGCATGAAGGGTCTATTTCCAACTAGCGTAAGCTAGCTCAACCATTTGGTCTCTACCAGACTACTATACTAATTCAAATCATTTCATACTATAAGCTTTGCTCCAACCTACCTCACTGGTCTAAATCAATATGGACTACCTAGTCATGCTAATGATAACATACGAATTTCGCATGTTAAGTATGACATAATTTGGACAATTAATGTTTAATTTTATGCAAAATTACATTTAACTATACATAAAATAATTGAATCATAATTTATGATAAATTTTCTAAATACATGCTTAATTTTGTGATTTTTTTATATTTTCTATAGCATGTGTATTTATTTATTTATATGATTCACTTGAATAATAATTATAAAGAAAATATCATTTTCTAAGTATGATAAGATTTATTTCAAGTTTAAGTGAATATTCTAAAGGTTTTTCTATTTTTCTAGAATTTTCTATTAAATCTGAATTAATATCGATGCTTTGACTCATGATTATTTAAATTAAAAAATATAATCCATATAATTTTTATGATTTATTATGCATCTCTTAAGCCCTACGTCAACTCATGTATAAATGAGTTTAGATTTACCATGTTGATTTCTCCCTTACGCCTAATTTATTATATTTATTTGTTTAAGGGGTAAGAGGCTTTATTTTAATATTATGTTTCAGGTCATATTAGGCCCATGGGGCAGCTAGACAGCCCACATTAATTAAGGAGGAGGCCCAACAAGAAGGAGGCGTTTTCTCTCCCCTCAAATTAATGAAACTGCCCACTTAAGGTGGGCGGTTCATTTCTTCCTTAATTAGAGGGAGGGGTATGTGGCATCATCTGATCAGCCACGCTCCTCTCCCTCATTAAACAACCCTTGGGACTATCTCAGCCCCTCAATCAGCCCAATCCAAGGACTGAGATAAGTCCTAGGGTGAGGGAAGGTGAGAGACATCCTAGCAGCCGCCCACCTCCCTTAGGTTGCCCTTGGAGAGAGAAATCTAATCCAAGGGTTGTGGACTCTCCACCATGATCCAAGGGCAGAGAATGGACACGACCAAGGGGAGAATAAAGAGCCATCTAGAGGAGAGAGAAGGCACTCCGTTCATTGGAGAGGGGTGCCCAAGAGGGAGAAGAGGAGATCTCCAAGAACTTCACTCCTTGAGCCAATCCAAGAACTCCAAGGAGGGATCTGTTTGAGCACTCCAAACAACATACAGAAGGCAGTTTTCATATATTTGGTTTTTTCTTTATGTTTTTACATTTTATCTTGAATGAATGAGTTTTATTTTCTTATTATCTTCTCTTCTTCTTGAGACCCTCTTGGTGAGAAAGAGTTGATCCGGTTGAAGATTAGGTAGGGATTCGATTCTTTGATCTCTAGAGTGACACTAGGTTGATCATAGGATAGAATCCAACCCTTCTACCCTTCTCTTGCTTCTCTTGATGTATGTGGATCTCTTGATCTATCAAGATTGATCACATTTCTAATAGTGAACAAGGTAGGGTAGATTTAGGATACTTTAGATCTTTCTTTTGATCCTTCTCCTTCTATATTGTTTTGCTCCTTTGATTCATCAAAGTTGAGCATTCATTAGAAATAGAGAGAGATAAGGAGAGGTTAGTAAGTAATTTTGGAGTAGATTAACCTACTTTAGTCTTTCTATTGATCTTTTAGGTGACATAAGAAGATCTAGAAAGATTAGAGTTTTTATTTACACACATTTGGGTTAAGAAATTTAATTTTGATTACAAGTTAAATCTCACCTTGGTTTTATACTCCTTAAATTATACTCATTAGTATCATTAGGAAGACATCTGAACATTATTAATTTTATTTTTGACACTCTTTAATCACGACATTTTGGAGTGATCAGCTAATTTGTCTTATCTTGTTCAAGTTACCCTACCCAATCAACTAAGTCAGCTTGGTCAATAGTCAACAATCCAGTAATGGTCAACATCGGATCTATTGATGTTCTTGATTTTGATAAGTACATTCTACATAATTATTACATGAATTATCTTCATTGATTTTCTATGTTATAACTAATCATCAAATATAAAATATTAATCCTTGAGATTAAATAATTCTTTAATCTACAAATACTTGAGCATAAAATAATATCAATTGAGGAATCATTCTCAAGTGAGAGAGTAAGTATATAATTAAATAGGTATAAGTGAAAGGAAATCGTTTGAAATATCTTATCTATGATTTTGTATCTCTCTAATCATATTTTGAAATGATGTTAGATTTTAATTAAATGATGAGAAAAAGAATGAGATATATATGTACCATCTCAATGGTGAGACATCAGTTGCTTACATTGACAAGAAGTTATAGTAAACTTAATGATTTGGATATGATGTGAACTGTTCTCCATCAAGTTACAAAACTTTGGTTAAAATTTGAATGAAAATGACCACAAGAATAAGGAAATTTGAAGATTGGAAGGTTTAAAGTTATTACTAGGCATTATGGAAAATTACAAGTTTTTTAATAAGAATTTCAAATGCTAGAAGGTTTGAAATTCTTATTAAAAATGAAGAAACTATTACTAAGAAGGTTTACTTATGGGAGAAGGTTTCTACATTAAAAATAAATTGAACACATGAAGAATCAAGGATGAACTTCAAACTCTTTTTACTAGACACATCACTGGTGCATGAGGATATTTCATCATCTTCATTAACTGATTTTGACCAACAAACAACTCAACCATCATAGTCTTTGCTCTCTATCACACCCTAAAGTGATTAGGTGGTGAGGGAAGAGTATTTTGGACAAATGCATTAAGTGTTGGTAGTTGTGTCTAGCCCGAGAGGTATTTAGGTGGCTGTTCCCATGAATACTAATATATAATTACTAAGGAAATTTGTAAACACTAGAGGGAAGTTCCTTCTAGAATTACAAATAGCTAAGTGAGTGACAAATCATTATAAAAATCTGTGTTCTTTGTGAGAGTGTTTTAAGAGGTTTGATGTCTTATCATGGTATACATGGCAACACATACATGTAGGTATAAGTTAATTTGAAAAATTGATAAATCTTAGAAACACTAATTCACCCACCCTTGTGGTATTTCACCTAGCCTTATAATTCCAGAAAGGATAATTATGTAGAATAGGGTTCCAGATTCAACATGTGTTCCTCTATTGCTTAGTCACCCATTCCAGCAACAAAGTTATTTCTAAGTCTTCTTTCTTTCTAAATTTGAGTATTTTTTCATTAAATATATTTTATTGTACTATTTATGTTTTGTGTGATATGTAGATAATTCCACTTATTTATATAGTTAATAGTTAGTGTAGAGGGATAACCCACTTGATTTGGATCTAATCAACTTGTTGATAGTAAAACAAATTAATCTCTAACAATTCTTTAATTGCATCGATATAGTTCCTTTCTAATCTTGTGAGAAACACAATCTCATCTTAGTCTATTCTTCTTAACTCATTAGATCTAATGTGAGAGTTAGTACTAAGTTGCTTGTTTAGAATAGTTTAGTCATTTCTGATTTTATCCCACATGATATGCCAAGGTCCCTAGCAGACTTTATTGGCCAATCAAGGAAGCCATCAAAGATGAGGAAGCTTGGGGTTTGGTGGAGGGCCCTAAGGGCAAACTTAAAGTCCAGCTGGAGACATTTGGTGGCATTAATGAAGTCAAGTAAGAGATGTTGAAGCATTAAACCATATGATATTTTGATGATGACAAAAAAGTTTTGAGATCAATTAAAAGATTGAATTATGTCTAGTTCAAAATATGCATCATAAGACATTAAACATAAAATACTTAAATATAATCTAAAATAATATCAATAGAAGTTCATATGAGAATTTACCAAGTTTATTTGTGACCCATGATGCTAAACTAGTTAAATTGACTTATTACAATATGAAGAGTTATTATTTTGTATATTACTATGAAAATTGCTAACATTTACAGAAACGACCATAGTAAGAAAAGTGATGATAAAGACATTGAAATCAAAGACATTTTGTGAAGTAAAATATAGGTATGAAAGCTTACTTAATTAATATGAATGCATGATTTTACATCATAAATTTCAAAAGGTTTTAACTTGAAATTAATAAAGATTCAAGCTGTACATTGTTGTCAAATAAGATTTGTTCAGATATTTTCAAATATATACTAAAAATCATATTATTATCTGAATCATTGAAGTCATGATTTAATATATTATGATCATCGATCAAGATGTCTTATTAGACCTTGCATTTTGTTTGAGATGAGTCATATCAGTTTTTATTGTTTAATCATAGTTTTAATGAGACATGTTTTAACTCATTGACATTGGGATAGCAATGTTGGAAAAAAAGGTCAGTATTGGCTACCATGGTTGAAACTATCCAGCACTAAGTCTGAATAGACGAATATGGTTAGGACAAGATCATTTTTCTTCTTATAATGAATTCTAACGAAATCTAAAAAAGATTTGAGAAAGGCTGGGCTTCGACATTAACCCTTTGCCACCATGAACATATAACCCTTAGAAGTCATGAAATAAGAAACTAAAATCAAATTGACCTGGTATGTTAAACGACACTAACTCACCAAGTAACGCTGTGAAACATATTCTCCCCTGCAAGGTTTCCTTCCTCGAATTGCAATAAAACACAAATTCTGCATAAATTTGATAGATTCTTTTGCAACGTTTGATATGCTAAGATTCTGAGGGTGAAAAACTATCACAAATTTATGCATTGGGTCACGTAGGAATTGGGTTCAGTCACAGCCTGCGTATTCTTTAAATTAGGGCCCAATATAATTGGGGTGATGAAACAACCCTTGCCAGACCAGTAAGATCTCATGTATCCTCAGCGAAATCTACTAGGGTTTTGAGAGCTTATGGTTGCGTTGCCCACAATTCTTGCAGTGAAGTACATTTTCTGTCCAAATATTTACTCCGTATAGGTTAATTCATTGAAACCGTAAGAGTTCCTGAAAGGTGCCTAAAGTTCACATATCATTTAAATCATCCCATCCGTACACAATCTTATTTCAAATATTTGCCCCTAATGTTTCATTTGCTTATAAAATACATGTTTGGGGTTATCATGCGGGATGTATGGAAGCATGGAGTTTATCTTTCTCACCATTTGGGTGTCGTACCATCCATCTCTCCCTCTCTCTCTCTCCTCTCTCCTCTCTCCTCTCTTTCTCTCTCTCATTTCTCTCTCTCACTCTCTCACTCTCCTCTCTCTCCTCTCTCTCTCCAGCTAGCATGCCAGCTATGGCTCTATTGGGCTGAAATGTCGAGGGAATTGACTAGAGATGAAACTAAAGATGAGACGCTTGACGCCAAATCTCAAAGTTTAAAAGTCTTACTGCCATGTAAATGAGATTATGTTTCAAGGGTGCGTTAAAGAATCATATTTTAGGATATGAAAGCACGCGATTATAACATCGTTATTACGGGCATTAACCAACCCTTTTTCTTCTACACTTGGCCTGAAAGAACAGCTCCAGGACACACTGTCCTGTAGGGTTAGATGCATGGAGAGATGGTGGGTTGCATCTGACTTTGATTCCCATCTGTTAGGCTTGCCTCTACATCACGGTATGGGTCCGAGCGTTGCAGTAGGTGCGGACCCCTTTGCTACACTTACTAGCTTAATTATGTTTCCCCAAACGTGACTAAAAAATCATGGGATTTTACTAGTAAAGGCAAAACGTTTGTTTCTTATCTATCAATTTATAGATTTAGACATCTCCATAATGAGCCTAATCAATCATCGACATTTACACGCAAAGAAATAGGAAAATCGCATGCACCAATTTTTTCCTTTCTTTCAAGTTTTTATATGTCATTTTCTGTTAGAGTTTCTTGAAGGAGTTTCCTCCAAGTCGTTGTCTAGAATGATTGAAGATGCGATCCCTCCGGAGAGCATTTAATTGGAAAACTAAAAATTTTATGAGGAATGTGGGGTTTCGATGGTCTGGAATGAGACCCACATGTTTTCTATTTGTAGATATTTAAAATGTGAAGTGAAGGATATTACTGATTCCCTTTACACTATATAGTCCTCCACATCGTGCTCTCCCTTCTCCCCGAACATCATCTCACCTGAGAAAGAGAGAAAGAGTTGACGCAGGCGTTTCTTGAGGATCTCCGTCGCAATACCAAGATGCCTCGCCGATGGAAGAAGCCTTTCTTCTCCTCTGCCCCCTTCCGCTTCCCAGAGACCGAATCTGTGGTCCTTCCGGACCCGTCCGCCTTCTTCTCCAAACGCTTGCTCTCCTCCCCTCTCCCAACAAATTCTTTCTTCCAGAACTTCGTCCTCAATGACGGCGACCAGCCGGAGTACATCCACCCCTACCTCGTCAAGTCCTCCGGCGCCGCCGTGGGCCTATCGTTCCCTTCCCGCGTCGCTGAGCCCCGCTGGATATACCAGTCCTTCGTCCCCGATATATCCATCTCCAGCTTCTCCGCACCTCCTCCCACCGTCTCCGACGGCGGTGACAAGAACCATGACGACCACAGGAGGCGGCGCCGCCATCTGATCACCTCCTTCGACGACCTCAGCGTGACCATGGACCTCCCGGGGGGGCTTCGGTGCTTCCTCGTCCGCGGCAGCCCGTACGTTACCATGGCTACCGTCGGCTGCCATAAGATCGCCACCGGCATCTCCATCGCCACCTCCCAGGACGTCCTCTACTTCACCTCAGATTCCCAGCACACCAAGCACACACTCCAGCTCACCAACGGCCGCACCTATCTCTGCTACTCCTCGAGCCCGCTTCACGTTGCCCACACCTCCCTCTCCACGCTGGTCACCACCGCCGACTACGCCGGCGTCCTCCGCTTCGCCTACCTCCCCGACCCGAAATACGAGAGCATCCTCGACCGCTATTGCGGCTGCTACCCCATCTCCGGCGAGGCCGACCTGACCAGGCCCTTCTCCGTCAAGTACAAGTGGAAGACGAGGGGAACCGGGGAGCTCCTCCTCCTCGGGCACCCCCTTCACCTTCGCCTCCTCGTCGAGGAAGACGGCAACGCCTCCGCCTCCGCCGTTCTGCGCAACTTCAAGTACGAGAGCATCGACGGGGACCTTGTCGGCGTGGTGGGCCGTTCGTGGGTTCTCAAGGCTGACCCCATCCCCATCACCTGGTACTCCATCCTGGGACTCACCGAAGAGAGCTACGGCGAGGTCATCTCCGCGCTGTACAGGGACGTCGACGCCCTCAAGCCCATCGCCACAACCTCCACTTACGGCTTCGGAAAGGAGGCCGCGCGGGCCGCCCGGCTGGCGCTCATCGCCGAGGAGGTGCGCTTCCCCAACTTGGTGCCGGCGGTGCAGCTCTTCCTGGAGAACTCCATCACTCCGTGGCTCGAGGGTACCTTCTTCGGCAACGCCTTCCTCCACGACGCCTCCTGGGGCGGCTTGATCACCAAGCAGGGTGCGATCGACGGCGCCGTCGACTCCGGCTTCAGCATCTACAACGCCCACCATTACCACCTAGGCTACTTCCTCTACGCCATCGCCGTCCTCTCCAAGATCGACTCCGTGTGGGGGAAGGCCTACAAAGGCCAGGCCTACGCCCTCGCCAAGGACATCGTCAACCTGGATCGGGGCCCACGGGCGCACTACGCACGGCTTCGGTGCTTCGACCTGTGGAAGCTCCATTCGTGGGAAGGGGGCCTAGCGGAGTTCGTGGACGGGCGGAACCAGCAGGGTACTAGCGAGGCGGTCAACGCGTACTACGCAGCGGCGCTGCTGGGGATGGCGCACGGGGACTCCCAGCTGATAGCGACGGCGTCGACGCTCGCGGCGCTGGAGATCCAGGCTGCGCAGACGTGGTGGCACGTCCGAGAGGGCCAGCGCATGTACGAGGAGAACTTCACCAAGGAGAACCGACTTGTGGGGGTTCTGTGGGCCAACAAGAGGGACAGCGCCCTCTGGTTCGCCCCTCCCGAGTCAAAGGACATCAGGCTGGGTATCCACGTCCTGCCTCTGCTGCCCATCACGGAGGTGCTGTTCAGGGACCTGGGCTTCGTCCGGGAAATGGTAGATTGGGCCGCGCCGGCGATGGAGAGGGATGACGCAGAGGAGAGCTGGAAGGGCTTCGTCCACGCCATGGAGGCCGTCTACGACAACCAGGCGGCGGCGCGAAAGATCAGAACACTGTCGGATTTTGACGCCGGAAATTCCCTCTCTAACTTGCTCTGGTGGCTCCACAGTCGTGCCGGCAGCGGCGGAGAAAAGGTGATGCCGCCGCCACCGCAAGGGGAGCTGGCATTAGGCTGCTGCAGGAGGCGCTTGACCTGCTGCACTCGAAGGAAGGAGGAGGCACCGCCGCATTCGGGGGGAGCCCTTGCGTGCTGCAGGAAGATGTGGGCCTGCTGCTCTCGTAAGCTTCTCCACGACTGAATTCTCCTCACGGCATGTTCTCTTCCCATGATAACAAGCGAAAGTTGAAATGGAAGGTCGTGGATTGGAGGAAGCCCACTTCATCTCTTGATCGCCCGAGCAGCAGAAAGGAGATCATAGAGCGGAAGTCGGCAAAAATAAACTTAAATGAGGGGCCTAAAGACAGTTTAATAAAAGGTTACTGATGTATGTTTCATAACTTGGCGCCAAACTGTAAACCATGATCCCAATTTATTGTATTAAGTAAACTTTTTGTACTTACGTGAATATGACTCCTTGTATGTAAGGAATGCTTTCACGGTGGGACAGTCCGGGACTAAGGTAGTCATTGGACTATGCCACTCGTATTTCAGCTAGAACACTACCTTTGTTTAAATTTCTCATAGTATAGAATAATTGAGTGATGAGTTATTTGGCTTAAGACCCCAAGAAATGTTCTAAATTAGGAAAATTTCCTCATCCTTGTTGAATCTAGAAATTAGCCTCTATAGCCATTGGTTATTTGGCTTTAATGGCGGATTTAGGGTCAAGCTTGAACTAACAGGAATTCTCTATTTGAGAAGAGGACTAATGTTAGGCCTAGCAAGTTCCCTTGAGAAAAGGGCAGTGTGTGTGTGTGTGAGAGAGAGAGAGAGAGATGAAGAGTGATAGTTAATTGATGGAGGGTGGACTTGTCATTTTTCATGTTATTATAAAAAAATGAGAGCTTCTCAGAAGTTATAGAAGGGATTATCTCTAGCGACCGAATTTTTTCAAGGATTATTATTAATAAATCTATTGAAGATGGAACCTTTTTGTGCAATGTGGTATATTTGTAAAGAAGACTTTGGACCATATTACCCAATAGTGATAATTATGTTAAATACCTCATCAATTATGCACTCCCATTGAAAACTTATTTTTCAGTATCCTCACCTCTAAATAACTTAAGGTGTCAACCATGAATATCATCCAGTCCAAATGACAAAAGTAGGCATAACTCAAACATGCATGTGAAAAAGATTTCAGTCATTTAAATTGTCTCCATCAATCACATCCACCAAAGCCATTTGTTCAGTGTAAATCATTGATAAAAGGCTTTTAGAGTAATAAATATATTTTTCACATTATTAAAATGTATTCTCATCATTTAGTTTGTGTTGCATTATTCATAAACATACTCAATGTTTACTGTTCATATCTTCAATATCTGATCCTGCATTGCCATGTTGACAGCAATCTATGAATCTAGAATCCACTAATCTATCTTAGAGGTTATGAAACAATGCTATTCTCTAATATTTACCAAAAGTGTTATGAAGCCTTATTATGTGATCCTTAGGCAAAAAGCCTTATCATGTAAAGCTGTCATAATCAAGAATTCGTTATTATTCAATTTGAAATTAAACAAAAGACGCATGGAAGTGGGCATTGAAAAGATGTTGCCACATTGTGAGGAATGACCGTTTTAAATGTTGGTTCCAAACGAATTAACTATGGACAAAGGTTATGAGGTTGACTCATAGCTTTGTTGGAGAGAGATGCATTATTTTGTAGAATAGGCCTGCCCTCAAGAAGGAATCTATTATTACGATGCCCATTGAAATGAGATATGACCAGTTCATCTAATCCAACCAATGGAAAACTATGTGATCTTTGGAATGTCACTGACCTTTAAGAGCCGTCTTTAATTTTACTCATATTTAGGCATAATATTGATTATAGTATAATTACGATATGAATTCAAGAAGTCAACCCTCTTGGGTTCTTGATATTTTGGTGTTCTCAATTGGGTTATTATCATGCTTCAGCACAATTAAGTTTCCGTGTTTATAATTGGGAAAGCAGCTTTAAGGAAAATAACTCAGGGAAGATAGCAGCCAGTAAAGGAAAGTTTTTGAGATATACATGAAAACTGAATGTGAGAGAGAGAGATAGAGAGAAGGGGGGGGGGAGGGAGAGTTTGTCCAATTTATAAGAGTTAGTTGTTAACTTTGGAAAATATGTTAGTAGAAATATTAATAGTAGACGTTGAATTCATGTTATTTGCATTTCAAGGCAAGTTGTTGAATGTGAGAACTAACTAAGGTCCCTAATTCCACCATATCTATTTTGTTCGGCATGATATTCATGTCAAAATTGAAAAAACAAAACTCGTATTTATTTGATCCAATGGAAATCCTATTCGAAGAGGGAGACTGGAGTGATATTAATTAAAAAATTATACTTGTTGGGAGACGTCACATTTTAATTCTTGATGGAAGAACAATTTCTTATTGCGATGGAAGTAATATGCGTGGAATATCCTTTTTCAAAAATAATTTGATATTGTTATATTATCATGATATTCCGTATTTGAATGGTATTCCTTTAGTCTTGGGAGTTTTCTATTTGTATTATTCACAAAAAGTCAAGCGCTGTAAAAACAAGCAAGATAGACAGGTGAGTATTTTAACCTTAACGAAAGCCAAGTAATGATTTATATAAGAGAGAGAGAGAGAGAGAGAAATATAGAGCGGGCGGCAGGGAGACGTAACAGTGGCGTTTAACGATGTCTGAACGGAGCGAGACATCCGGATAGGCAGAGAGAGAGAGAGGAAGAGACGACAGTGGCACGTTTCGTCGTCCGGTCGGAAAGGGTTTCCTCCTGTAGCTGTCCCAGAAGATGCCATGTAGTTGAAAGAAGAAGAGTTGGACCTCGTCGACAGATGACGACGAAGACAGGACGTCACCCCTTCCATTTATTCCGTAGGCAGAGGATTGATCATCACCTCTGACGGTTGAAGCTATTACCAGTTAACCATCCCAATAAGCGAGCAAACATCAACTCGCCACTCTCTCTCTCTCTCTTTCTCTCTCTTGCTGCCAACCTAATATTCTGTATATAAAAGGGACTTATTATTGATCGTTGGCATATTACTCAATTTATCTAGCAAATTTAAAGAATATTTCTGATAAACTGATATAAATGAAGATGATATTTAACTTATCATTTTCTATAAGATTGTGCCATAATAAATAGCGAATGATAGGCAATTACTCGGCAAGGCATTTTCTAAAACGAATTATAATTACAAAAATACTATAATTATATACCATAAATAGTAATTAAGCATCGTAGTATAGAGCACGATTAGCATTTAATAAAATATGATTTAATAAATGAATTCATCCAGGAAACCCCAGATACATCTATGGGAGGGGTGAGGGGAAGGGATGGCTTATGCATGGTGCTCAAAAGTTCAATCAAACCCTGAAATAATTTTTTATTTCGATTTATCCTCTCGATGACAGCCTAAACAGCTCCTACGCCACTATATTTGTATATATAGTACACGGTAATACCCCGGAACCCAAAATTTTCATAAAAGTCTCCTTCTGCCGTCACTAAAGGGCATGAACCTAATGAGAAATTATATTTAAATATGTCCAAGATCGGATCCACCACGGCGCTGGCCCCACCCGAGGGATAACGTTGTCTGCGAGCTGTCCAATCAACAGAGATCTCGTAAATCGTGCCCTTTTGGCTGTTGGGTCACACCTGGCGTCGCCGTCCCGAGCTCATCCATTGACGGAATATGTAACGGAGTTTATAGGGGGTCCTCCAAGTTTGTTTTTTTAATCTTTTCAATGTTTACTCTGCGCTGAAGCCCACCATATTTAAGAAATTTCTACATATCCCTTATTTCTTGACTAGCGCAGATATAATCTTACAAACCTCGAAGATGCCGTTCCATATTTCTTACTATCAGCAAAGGAGGGGTAGATTTACTCGTTTTATCTATTCTTAAATTAAATCACGCGTTGACTGAGTCGACGGCTGGACAACGATTTCTATAGTTTTCGGATAAACGAAAAATTATGGGAGAGAGAAAGGATTTTTATGCACAGCTGAGGTAAAAAGGGACGAAATATCATTTTTTTAATTTGGTAGTTGCGGGGCCCACCTTATCCATTGCCGATGAAAATATCCTAACTGCGGATGTGGGGACCACTTTTAAACAAGGCCCCCCTCCCAAACACTTGTTTTATGTTTTATCATTATAAAAGTTACTCTCCCTCTCTCTCTCTCGCGGTAAGCTCTCGGCTATTTCTACCCCCTGGCCTGAATGGACGAATAATTTCTGCCTCTTACAGCGGCGGCGATGGTCGGGAGGGAGAAGACGACGGAAAGAGCTGAGGCGTCGTAAGGGGGAAGGGGAGGAAGGAGCCTCGCTCTTGCAGGAAGTGGTACTTCCCGTCCACAGCAGTTCGGGCCAGTGGCTCTGTTCAATTGGAGGGAGTGGGGGGCATCTCCGAGGCCTTCCGCGTCCGCAGGTATGTCGCGCCTCCAGGTTCTCATCTGCCGGTGTTCTTTCGCCTCTTGTTTCTTTCATCGACGGATTGGCTTCTTCCGAGCGGTGGCGGGGTCTGTTCGGCGTATCCCGATGTTCTCTGGTGCAGAGATGGGGATTGTGCCTATCTAATTTTCGTTTTAGGATTGTTGTTATCTTGAGTTTGGGGATTTTTGATGGCTGACTAGTGGGAGGATTCGTGCGACGAAGAGAGAAGTGAAGCGGGGGATTTCATTTTTCCTTTTGAAAATTTCCCTTCTTCTGAAGATGCTATTGATTCAGACTCTGGAGGAAGAGTGAGATATCCATGTTTCCTTGTCGAACATCAATTTTCCCCGTTTCCAGCAAAGTGGATGACAGTTCTTCTGGTATGAAATTTGGCTCGGCGCATAAGTTGTTCTTTATTGTTTCTTCTTAAGACACCTCTTCTCGTTTGTCACCTCCATCTGCCTTTCTCCGCAGATGCGAACGCGATAAGCTTCTCCAAAAAAGATCACGTCCTAATATTTATATTTTGGTGATTTTTGTCGATCCCATGCCATCGACCTCGTGTGTAATTTCACTGTTTTGCGCGGTTGTGAAAGAACAATGATCCACTGTGGAACTTCAGCAACCTCCTCGAATCGGTTTCAGGTTTAGGGTGAGCTTCTGATTTGAAGCATGCATCGAGAGTGAGCACCGGGATCGAGGTTCCCTCGTAGGCTGTACGTCTGGATCTTAATTCCTCCGGATCTGGGTGAACTCCGATTCAGTAGCATGAATCGAGAGATATACAAATTAGCATACTGCGGAACTCCAGAATCGGTGTTTTCCCTGGTACATGGTGCACCTGGACTTTTGTTCCGCCCTTTGTCTCTCACTGATTCAAGTATTCATGGCTGTATGTTTAGTTGCGGTCAGACGGGCTCCATTTACGCATGACTCCTGTTCTTCATCACAACTTCTCTCTTAAATCAAGATCTGTCTTCCTATTCTTTGGTTACTTTTATGTTCAGACGAGAGTGACCTCCTGCCATCCCATGTGGTGGAACCTTAGGAAACCTCATTGGCAGCATCCTCCTTGATTGGGTTCCATGGTTTTCACTGAGGTTAACGTTGGACCTCATCTCTCATAAACCATTCATTCTGAAGAGCCGCCCCTAAATCCTGCCATTAAGTAGATGATGTGGATTAAATGCTAGACAACGGTTCATCTTCATAATGTTGTTCTGATGTAGACAGGAGAAATCCAGCGATGGCTCCTTTAAGATCAAGCGTAGGATAAATCAAGAATTACACTTATCAGGTTCATGAGCAATTTCTCCGCCTGAGGGCGCAGTCCTTTCTGCCTGTGAACAGATGATCCCGAGGATGCTGATGGTACACTTAGTAGCTGATTTCTCCTTCTCTGCGTTGTGGTGATAGCATCATCTGTTATGTGTTCGATAGCACTATTACACGTTCACTGTTTCTCCAGAGGATTTCATTTTGAAGCTTTCCGAAGAAGGGAACTGTCTTAGCATCTTCGTACAGGTCGGATAAATATTCCCGAATTAGCATCTTAATTTAATTGACTTCTGCTTTTCACCACCTTTCAGCAGGCTGTGCCATTCACATCTCTCAACAAGGCGTAGCCCATTTTATAGAAAGAAGATTCATTTGGACAGAAGAGCACGAGATCTATGCTTTGATGAAATATCAGGATCCGTTGAACCATCCGATCGGTCATGCAGTGCAAGTCTGCTTCCAATCTCTTCGATTTGGCGACTGCAGATGTTTTCGATCTCCCCTGCAACTCTAGAAAGCTTCCTCGTGTGATGACCGTTCCTGGTATCATCACTGACTATGAGAGCCGCGAGGAATCTGGCCAAGGACAGATCATCCTTGTGTCCAATTTTCTCCCTCTGAACTGCCAGAGGGACCCAGATACAGGGAGATGGTGCTTCACCAGGGACGACGACTCCCTCCTGCTCCAGATGAGAGATGGCATCCCGACTGAGACCGGAGTCACCTACGTCGGCTGTCTGAAGGAGTACATCCATGCAGATGAGCAGGAGGAAGTTGCCCGAGATATCTACCAGAAATTCTCCTGTGTTCCCACATTCTTGGAACCGAAAGTCCACAAAAGATTTTACTTGGGGTTCTGCAAGCAGCTCCTGTGGCCGCTCTTCCACTACTTGCTCCCGGTCTCCCCAGACCTGCACAAGCGGTATGACCGGGCCCTCTTCCAGGCTTACGTCGCTGCCAACGTGGAATTCGCGAGGAAGATCATGTCTATAATGAGGTCGGACGACGACTACGTCTGGGTCAACGACTACCACCTGATGCTGGTGCCCACGTTCCTGAGGAAGATGATGAACAGGGTGAAGCTGGGGTTCTTCCTCCACAGCCCTTTCCCTTCGTCGGAGATCTACAGGACCCTGCCGGTCAGGAATGAGATCCTGAGAGGGCTTCTCAATGCGGATTTGATCGGCTTCCACACGTTTGACTACGCACGCCACTTTCTCTCATGCTGCAGCAGGTTGTTCGGCGTTGACTACGAGCTGAAACGGGGCTACATCAGGCTGGACTACCACGGCCGCAAGGTGATGGTCAAGATTCTCCCCGTGGGAGTCCACATGGGCAGGCTCCAGGCCGTGCTGAGGTCTCCGTCGACCGTCGCCAGGGTCAAACAGATCGAGGAGCAGTTCAGAGGGAGGAGGCTGATCCTTGGTGTTGACGACATGGACATCTTCAAGGGCATCAGTCAGAAGCTTCTGGGGCTGGAGCTGCTCCTCAGTGACCGACCGGACCTCCGCGGGGAGGTGGTCCTCGTCCAGATCGCCAACCCTCCGTGGGGAGCCGCCGGCGGCAAGGCGAGGGAGGAGATTGCTTCGCTGGTGGAGAGGGTCAACGGCAGATTCGGCGGCGAGGGGTACCTCCCCGTCGTCCTGCTCGAGGGAGGGTTGACTTTCTTCGAGAAGGCGGCCTACTTTGCGGTGGCAGAGTGCTGCATAGTCAACGCAGTCAGGGACGGGATGAACCTGGTCCCGTACGAGTACACCGTCTGCCGCCAGGGCGTCACCGAGATCACCGGAGCTCCAGCGGCCGCGGCGCAGACGAGCACCCTGATCGTGTCGGAGTTTGTGGGCTGCTCGCCGTCCCTCAGTGGCGCCATCAGGGTCAACCCTTGGAACGTAGAAGAGGTCTCCGACGCCATGGCGACTGCGCTGAGCCTCCCGTCGCCGGAGAAGGAGCTCCGCCACGAGAAGCACCACCGGTACGTGAGCTCCCACGATGTCGCCTACTGGGCGCGGAGCTTCGCACAGGACCTGGACCGGGCCTGCAGGGAACACTACAAGCAGCGGTGCTGCAGCGTCGGCTTCGGGCTCAACTCCCGGGTGGTCGCCCTCCCCCTAACCTTCAAGAGACTCAGCCCCGACCAGGTCGTCGGAGCTTACCGGAGAACTCGCCGGAGGGCCATCTTCCTCGACTACGACGGGACGATGGTCCCGCACAGCTCCATAACCAGAGCTCCATCTCCGGAGCTCCTCGCCATCCTGAACAGCCTCTGCGCCGACCCCGCGAACGTCGTCTTCGTCGTCAGCGGGAGAGCCCGGCAACCCCTCGGCGACTGGTTCTCCCCCTGCGACTCCCTGGGCATCGCCGCCGAGCATGGCTACTTCCTCAGGTACTAAACCATCCTTCTTCTTCTTTTCCTTCTCCTTCTTCCTCTTCTTGCTTCCTCGTCCCCTTGCTTTCATTCTGCAGGTGGAGCGAGTCGTCTGCGTGGGAGTCGGACGAGGTCTTTGCCGGCGGGTTCGAGTGGAAGGACATTGCGGAGCCGGTGATGAGGTCCTACGAGGAGGCCACAGACGGCTCCCACATAGAGACCAAGGAGACGGCGCTGGTGTGGCACCACGAAGACGCCGACCCCGACTTCGGTGCCTGGCAGGCCAAGGAGCTCCTCATCCACCTCGACAAGGTCCTCGCCAACGAGCCCGTCGCCGTTTCCCGCGGCCACCACATCGTCGAAGTCAAACCCCAGGTTCCACTCTCTCTCTCTCCTTCATTCTCTCTCTGAATCTCTCTCTCGCGTTCACTCTCTCTCACTTGGGCGGCGCCGAGCAGGGAGTGCACAAGGGGCTAGTGGTGCAGAAGGTGCTGGCGGCGCTGGCGGGGAGGGGGAGTCCGCCGGAGTTCGTGATGTGTGTGGGCGACGACCGCTCCGACGAGGACATGTTCGACAGCATGGAGGCGGCGATCTCCGGCGGGTCGCTCGCCGGAGAAGTGAAGACCTTCGGGTGCACCGTCGGCCAGAAGCCCAGCAAGGCCAAATACTACCTCGAAGAGACCAGCGGCGTCGTCAGCCTGCTCAGGGGCCTCGCCGCCGCAACGGTTCCCAAGTCCGAGCCCCTCGCCACCGCCGGAGAAGTTTCCTTCGAGAGAGCTCCAAGACCGTGCTACGGCTGAACCTACCCACCCATCCCATCCGCCGCCGTCCTGGATCGTTCCCTCCAGAAAGCTGCCGCCTTCTTTGCAGAGCTCCAAGACCCTGCTCGGCGGTGCCACGGCGGTCAGTAACAAGTTCTCGCTGTTTCCCTGTGATTGGTGTCATCGTTCTGTATACAAGTTTCATCCATCCTCCCTCTCTCTCTTTCTCTCTGCGCCATCCTCTCCCGTATACCCATTGGTAGACCCATTATGGAGGTCGGACCCGTGACTTTTCCTCGGGGGGCGGCAAACGATCCTGAGCCGTCCAATCGTTCGATCCGAGCGGGGCTGATAATGTGGGACCCAAAAGCAGTTTCCTTTGCTCTACATCAACCGTTCATTTGACAGCCCCTCGCAAACCGCCTTAATTGTCGGGATGCGAATTCGTGACCATCGAGATCCACCGTTGCCGATGCCACGTCATCGACAGCTGGTACATCCACACCCTCCGTCCGTCGACGCCTCCCCCGTTCCCCGAGGAAGAAACCACACCGCAGAAACAGAAAGGAAGACCCGTTGGCTTCCTTCGTGCCCGTGTGAAGCCGAGGAACGCGGAGAAGGAGAAGAATGGGGAGGGGACGAGTCAAGGGTCAGGGTGTCAACTAAGAAACAGGCGCCCTCCTCTCTCCCCTTTTATCCCTGGTATCTCCATCTCTCTCTCTATCTCTCTCTCTCTCTCTCTCTCCCTCTGCAGGGATGGGGGGAGGGGGGAAGGCACTGGATGAATCGGCCCTGGCAGGCACGGAGGAGGCGGAGGCGATGTTCGCCCAGAGAGGGTGCTGCTTCTTTTGGGTCCCCCACTTCGGCGGCGAGAGCTCGGCCCCAGCAGCCGCCGCCGCACGCGGGGTGGGCGCGTGGGAGAGGATCGGTGGCGCGGCCGGAGACGGGGGCGGCGCCGCCGCCAGCACAGCACCGATGGAAGCGCCGTGGTGGCGCCGAGCGCTGACGAAGGTGCGCGAGTGGTCGGAAATCGTGGCGGGCCCCCGCTGGAAGACTCTCATCCGGCGGTTCAACCGCAGCCGGGGGTGGTGCGGCGGTGCGCGGGCGGGGAAGTTCCACTACGACCCGATGAGCTACGCCTTGAACTTCGACGACGGCCGCGGCGGCAGAGGCCGCGGCGCCGCCGGCGACGACGGCGAGGATGGGGGGTATCCCAACTTCTCCGCCCGTTTCGTGCTGCCGCCGTCCCTGGGGAAGACCTCCGTGGACCTCGGCGGCCGGAATGCGCCGGCCCTCGTCAGCTCCGGCTGAGTCGTCTCTCTGCTCTCCTTCGTGGGTCTATCGTGCGCAGGAGATGGAGAGTCTGTGCATGGCGCGGTGCACGATATTCTTTCTATTTCATGTGTGGGGGTGGTGCATTGCGTTCAGTGCATACCAGAGGTATATACAAACCTTTTGGGATTATTCACATACTCACAAACACAGTATAAAAGACATTTATTTATATTGAATTTCTTTGAGGTATTTGCACAGGATTAGTTGTCTTCAAATTCCTCATCTCGCTCAAAGTGAGGAAATAAAATATCATTTTTTCTTGTAATTAATAAGTTATAACCTAGCATTAGCTCCATGCACCTTTTGAAACATATGAAATAGGGACTAACGCAGTGGAAGGTGAGGGCTGGAGGAGGACAGAGACCAACAGATGAAAGTTGGAGAGATAGAGAGAGAAGAACAAGGAGGGAGATGAATTCAATTTTCATCATATGTTATCTTAGTTTATTTCAATTTTCAGTTTGTCAAAGACAGATAAACTAAGTAGGCTGGGTTCCACTATTTAATTATTCTTGTCCAATATTATATGTTATTATCCAAGTTATTTCTTAATCGAGGATCATATTTCTAAATCAGCCTACTGAACTTATCAAAGTCAGATAGCTGGGTTATCTCAGATAAACTCAGATAATCTAACCTCTTCAAGCTATAATCAGAAATGAAATCACTACTTATGGTTTAAAAACAAAAGCAACGGTCTTGTTTTAAAAACTTGATCAATTCTTGATTTTTTGATGAATCTTCAAGGATCTACAATGATGGGAGTAAACCTTCAGGACATATCCTTCACATTTGTAGTTTATGGGGATGGATAACTAATTAACCATTAATGAAAAATGAAGTTGACTACATGGGATAACACTTTATTTATATGTTGATTTTTAAACATCGTTATTTCCTATTTACCACATTTATAAATTTATTATTAGATCTTATGATTGGATTGCATGACACCAGAAATTCAAACATTTACAATCTAAGCGAGTTAATCCCCATCAAGTAATCTCAAAACTACTTGAAAATGTTAAACTCCATATATTGGACTCCACCTCCTGTGATCTGGAATCCAGAATTGCTAGCTACCTTCACAAAATAAAAGAATGCATATAGAAAATTGATGAAACAGTTTCTTGGTCCTAAATAGGCCTAAACCTAAAGATATTGAACCACTATTGGTCATGGGTTTGTCTTAAAGGTTGACACTTGTCAATTTTAGAATGATCTAGTCATCCATTGTATCGCATCCACTATATGAAATGTTAGTCTATCCTTGCACTACCATCAAATTTTTGTGATTGAATGTGGATGTGTATTAAAGGTACAACCTACGCTTAGGAAAAAATCCTGAGTCCCAATTGATTCACGTTGCAGAGAGAGAGAGAGAGAGAGAGAGAGAGAGAGAGGCAAAGAGGTAGAGACAAATACATAGGTAATCAATGCATTAATACATGCTAGGTCTAACGAAGGCACATTCTTCTCTCATATAGAAAGGAATAGGGTCAGTCCGTCTCTTCTTGTTTAGATTTGATTTGGGTCAATACTTGAAAATTACTAGGTTAGACTACGCCTAGGCTTGGGCTTAAACACTCCATTGACTACCATACATCCTCTAGCTTCTATTATTAACAATTAAAATAATTAATTTTTTTTTTGAAAATATACTTTTTCTGCTCTACTTCTTTTGACCATGCCAACCAAGCATTTGACAAGTTTCAAAAAGGACACGACTCAAAAAACTACTAGTTTTGAATTTCCTTCAGAACTAAGATCAAATGTGACTAATTTTGATGTGGATTCAGTTCATCCAATTAGATGTAGTCCAGCACCTACTTTTCTTCTACTATTGATCCTGAAAGACCTACTAGAGGGGGATGAATAGACTCAATCATGATTTATACAGAATTATGATTACTAATTCTAGTCATTGTAAGATTTCAGATTAGATCTCTTAATTCTGTGGATTGATACATCAATCGTTTATTTTCACCTTATACTTAATGATACAGTGAAATCAGAATGAATAATATAAGCAAAGGCATGTAGAACTTGCTTGTTAATTCAAGAGAAGAAAGTAGTAGTGAGGTGTCAGAAAACTATATTTTTTTAATGAATATTTTGTAGATCACTATGTAAAAAATTAGAATAGGTAATCTAAATGAGAAATTTTATTATTTATTATAACTTTTTGTGGTACAAAAAACTGATTTAATTGATTTGAAAAACCAACAGATGCAACAAATAAATTCACATATAGATTTTAAGTGAATTAGGCTCTACTAATCTTCTCTTATGATTTCACCCAAGTGCTAATGGACTTAGGGCCCATATAGCTATTGGCACTATCAAGTACTCTAGTACTTATGACACTAGTAATTGGATTGCTTCAAGGCAATCAATCCCTCATCAACTTTTTGGCCTTGGCATAATAAATAGAGCACAATCACCTTCACATATCTAAGGGGTGGATAGCTGTTGATAGTTATTTCAAGACAATCAATCCTCACAACCTATTGAATTTATCGTACCAGCTCAAATTATTGTTGAATGTGAGTCCTAATATACTTCTAAAGTTATGCCCATGGCACCAATAATTGCTATGACTTCTAATTCGCAAAGATAGGCAAAACATGTATGTTACCATTTTGCTTTCCTCTATCCAAGACTAGTTTGATTTGATTCTACCTAGAGTTCTTGATTTAGTAGGCTGGAATACTTTTGTTATTGCTTTAGTCTCAGATGATGATCATGACATCTCTCTTGAATGTGTTGATGAGTGAATTAAATTTCTTCTCTTTTCAGGTGCTAAACTTGTTTGTAGCCTCGTGGGGACTAATTCAAGGGTGGATATGAATCTTTTGGCTCTCTTTCTTTCATTGATCTTCTATATGTGGACATTTATTGTCTACTTCCTCATAAACATAATTTATTTTAATAGTTTCATAAAATTTTTCACTAATGTATATTCTGATGGCCTTTGGATTAAAAATATATCAAGGGGACTGTCATCCATTTTTCATATTTTAGAAAAGCTGATTGCTACTAATGGTTGCCTAAAAACTAAAATCGCTTTCATTGGTGAATAATTAGTTTGACATTTATACTGAATTCAAACCCAATTCAAGGAAGGTTTGATGGGACACAAGCAGCACGAGTGATGAAAATTCAAAAGAGACAGACATAATTTATTCTTAGGATGGAAAACTAGAGTGTTACTCAAATGCACCTATAGGACATAATTGGACGAAGGGAAGAATCTTGTGGTAATGAAGAATTGTAGTGGATTTCATGCAGTATTATTATTCGTCTAAGTCATTTCGATGAAAATACGTAGATAGACTCCCCTCTTTATAGTCATACCGAAAACCTCCACTACCATGACCCGCTAGTGTTTCTCTCTTGAGTCAGCAACTAGACTATGAAGAAGGAGAACAAAGGTAAGGAAGGAATTCCGCCCACTAGGCTATCTTGGAACTCTAGTACTGGTGCATGGCACCAGCCACTAGTGACCACAGCTGGTGGCCACCAAACGACAAATGTTCACTGATGGGGGCAAGCACTCGATGGTGCCCATCTCCACCATTGATAATCACTTAGGCCTACCATCACGAATGTTATTCAACTCGAGATAATCACTTAGGCCTACCATCAAGAAGAGATATTTTATGAATGTTATTCCTTCACCTTATCTTATTTTCTCCAAACTCGAGGTCTTCCTGTGGTTGTTCTTCGTTGGAACAAGATGGTGGGGTCATGTTCATCAGTGCCTATAATTCCTCTACCCTTAAGTAATCACGAGTGTCGTATATGAGACTTTACACCTCCGAACGTCGATGCGCCACCTACCCTCGTTGTTTCTATTTCTCATTTCAATATTAGAAGTAGAGATAGAGAGAGAGAGAGAGAGAGAGAGAGAGAGAGAGAGAGATGATGATGATGATGATGACGATATTGCACGATTAGGAATTCAGGCACCGATGTCATTGGGTCAGAGGCTTTAAATAACATAGGAGAGTTGTCCCTTTATCTTTTTTTTTTTATCCCATAACCCATAAACTAGTAATAATTTATCAATATTTCTGATGGACGGCGTTGGTGGGCCATCAGGGATCATGCATTTTCAATCCCAGAGCATAACACATGACTTCGAACCAGAAGGTCAAGCTCCTTTGACAACTCCGTAATTGACAGATTGGTATATGTAGAGAGAGAGAGAGAGAGAGAGAGAGAGAGAGAGAAGAGTATTTAGATGGGTTCTGGGCTTTCAGGGCTGAACCTATTGAAGCCCGGACTCAACCGGGAAGGGGACTGGGTCGACCGAATTATAATTCATTTGGAGCACAAATTCATCAGCCGACCAGAAACTTTTAGATTCTCCAGGCTTGTGGTCGTAGCTCAGATGGTGGGTCCCAGCCGGTGCAACTTGCCTCGACAAAGCGAGAAAGCGGCCGCAAAGAGCTGGCGAGGGAGAGGGAGAGGGACTCAGAAAAGCGCCTGTCAAAGGTGGCGTCTATTATATAAGTGGGGGCACCGGGGGGTGGGGCGGGGCGTGGGATTCTGGGCTTTTCTCCAAGGGGTGTTTGACACGAGCCCTAAATGAAAATTGACAAAAAAAGTAGGCCTTTGTACGTAATTCTCCTTAAAGCATCTGCTCTGATGTGGGTCGTTCACTAGGGCCGGAAGAGGGAATAAATAGATCGCACGGGTCCACCAAATCGGCCGATAAATCCAAATCAGACGGACCCCAGGCGCCCGATCCCATGATGGTATCACCCAGTCGCCGTCAAATAATTTATAAGGTATGAATGTATGCATTTTACACCGAAAAAGTCCTCATTTGTATACACGTTGATTTTTCCCGGTAAAATAGTCATAAGAAAGTATTATTTTTCTGAATAAATAATATTCACTTTTACCTGATTGGATCCATCCAAACGGTTTTAGCCGATCCGCCGCCCAATATGATGGAAAAAAACCCAAAAAGATAATTATTGGGGAGGGTAGGGTCGGAAAGAAAATATTTTTGCGTACCAGACCTCCGAGATGTTAATTTCACCAATGTGGGACTGCTTTGGCAGGCGGTGGCCCCAAAAGATAAGACTAGCAGCCGACTTCCCCCCACTAGAATCCATGCCGCAGCTTTTCCTTTCACCGTCACCGCCGTTCTAGAGAGAGAAGAGAAGTGAAGAAGAAGAGCTGCGGGAACAAGACGACGCTGGAGACATCATCGTTTACTGGGCTCGGTGAAGTCCTCCATCTTCACAGTCACGGCATGAGAGAGAGAGAGAGAGGACAAGATTTAGAATTTCACAGATACGGGCAAAAGTTAGCACGCTGCTGGGTATGGCGGCTGCAGAAGAGAGGAGAGAAGAAGAAGAAGAGGAAGAAGAAGAATTTCAATGGCTGTTATTGGCTCGAATGTCTCAAGAAACAAGCACGGCGGGAATGGTAGATGACGAATGGAGCCTCAGCTCAGGAATCTGCCCCCTTTCCGCCGGCTGCCGGAACCCACGGCGAGCCGCCGTCGAACGACGAACAGTCCACCGCCGCCAACGGGAACTTTTCCTTCTTGTTCGGCCACTGCCAGATCTTCGACACCGAGAAGCTCTCGTCCTTGCTCCCCGCCCACAACCGCTTCCCATTTCCGCCGCCGCCGTCGCCGTCGCCGACGACCGGAGAGCTCCGACCCAGTTCCTTACTCGTCGCCATGGCTCCTCCTTCCTCCTCCTTCCTCCTCCTGCTCAGCTCCACCCGCAGCTCGGGATCCCCCACAACGTACTGGTACGACCCCATGGAGTAGCACCGCCGGGCACCGAGGCAGCTGCTGCTGGTCTCCCCTTCCTCTCTCCCCACGGCGGCGCCGCCGGGCCCTCCTCCTCCTCCGACGGCCCTGAACTTGCCGAGCCTCACGGGGAGGACCCTCTTCCCGCCGGCAGCAAGGCCCTCCCTCTCCTCGCCCCCACCGCCGCCGTCGTCGTCGAGGTCGAAGACGGGGTTCTCGATAGCCTGGCCGGGGACGAAGAGGGTGCCCCTGCAGAGCGGGCAGGAGGAGTTGCAGAGCAGCCAGGCGTCGATGCAAGCGATGTGGAAGGCGTGGCTGCAGACGGGGAGTAGGCGGAGCTTGTCGCCGGCGGCGAACTCGCAGAGGCAGACGGCGCAGTCGAAGGGCTCCTTGGAGCCAACGATCTCCCCGTAGAGGAACACAGGGAGGGCGTCGATGGCTGCCTGGTCCAGCCCAGAATCGTGGAGGTGGAACAGCTGCTGCAGCTGCCTCTGCAGCGCCTCCGACCCCAGAATCTCCCTCCGGTGGCGCCTGCCGCCGTTTTCCGGCGAGGAAGAGGGGCTCTGCTTGATGAGGAACCTCACCAGCAGGTGGAGCAGGCCGGAGATGAAGAAGATCACCGCCAGAATCACGATGATGAACAGCAGCGCCGGGCTTATCTTGGCCCCGGATGAAACCCCTGCCGTCGCCGTCGCCGGCGGCGGCGGCGGGGGAGGAAACGACGACTCCCTCTGGAAATCGTGAGAGAGGATCCTCCTCCCATTAATGAGGATCATTCTAGCTGGCGAGGTTTGCTCCCCTGGCCTCGAGCGACCAAATCCAGGGCATTAGGGCAGACGAGACGGGCTCCCTAGAGGCACATTCCTCCTCCTGCTCCTTCTCCTCCCACCTTCCCCTTCCTGGAAAAAACATCTGAGGCCGGGTGGGGAGGGGATGGATCGATCGCCTTGCTCTGGTGGGTTTCTACATCCAGATTCCGACCCTCCGAGCCGCCGGAGCTTGAAGACGAACCAGACGACACAGAGAATTCCCACGAGCTCCGATTCCAGAGATCCTGGAGTGAAGAGCAGCAGCAGAGCGCCCTCCCCGTCTCCCTCTCCCTCTCCTCTCCCTCTCCGGAGGATCCTTCTAATGCAGCGAGGAAGAGGAAGAGTGAGAGCGAGAGAGAGAGAGAGAAAGAGAGAGAGAGAGAGAGAGAGAGAGAGAGAGAGAGAGAGAGAGAGAGAGAGAGAAAGATGGAGGAGAGCGAGATTCTGGACAGGTGGGTAGAGGAGGAGGGAGGGTTGGGGGCTGGCCGAAGAAGCTCCTCGCCTTGGCAGCCGCAGCAGGGAGACCGGCCGGCCTTCCCAAACCCTAACAGATAGAGCGAGCGAGAGAGAGAGAGAGAGAGAGAGAGAGAGAGAGAGAGAGAGAGAGAGGGGAGAGAGGGGAGGATGTGAAGGCAGAGTGGGGCGAAAGTTGGGGATTTTAATTATTCTGAACCCACCCTTCACTGTCCTCTCGAGCGGACCTGATAGTCTTCTCTCTCCTAGATTGTTTTCAAAACCTCTGTAAAATATTATAATTACTTATATGTTCTCTATGTTTTAATCTTCCCAATGCGACTTTCCCCTGTATAGGTAAAAGTATATATATGTAAGGTACAAACTTTTTCACAATTTAGTATTTTATGAGGGAGATAATGATAAAAGGTATCCTATCCCCGAGGGACACGTGACAAGAGCAGGGGAAAAAACAAATCCACGAATAGCCCAACTTGAGTATCGTGGCGCTTTCCCAAAGGCTGCTGTGGTGGCCGGACGAGTGTTTTTGTCTTGCCGCCGTTGTCTTCTGCCGAGCCAGGAGCAGCCGAAGCTCGAGATCTGACGACCTGCGAAGTGCTCGAGGAAATGCCAAGGCAGAGTTGGGGGAGGGGCGGGAGGGGGGGTCTGACTAAAATAATCCCCGGGGGCAGTTTCGCCGATAGTCAAAACTGGTTCTTGGCGCCACTCCAAGAAAAATGGCGGATCTTCCCCTCTTGACTGGAAATTGGGGGCCCGAATAAGCAGGAGATCAAAACTGATTCTTGGCGCCACCCCAAGAAAAATTGTGGGCCCGAATAAGCAGGAGGCCAGCCCGTGGATTTCGTTCAATTTGGATCTGAAAATGAAGCCCGAAATGAAACTTTAGGTCCATTTTAATGATTCGCGACTGAGTTTTGGGTTCAATAGAGTGCAAAAAAAAAAGAAGACACGCCTAAGAACTCCTCTCTCTCTCTCTCTCTCTCTCTCTCTCTCTCTCTCTCTCTCTCTCTCTCCCTCCCTCCCTCTCTCTCTCTCCCTCTCTCTCTCTCCCTCTCTCTCTCTCTCTGGCTGTGCCTCTCGGACTGGGTATTGTAGAGCCAAGGCCTGAACACGTCAATGAGTTTCCCTTTAAAAAGATTTGGAGATAAAACTAGAGTACGTTCTATCTATACCAGCGGAGCCTTTACCATGCCTCAAGTTTTAAATAGGTCAATCATAGAGGCCCAATTGCCCTTTCTCTCCCATCCAGAAACTGGCCCGTCGTCGCACACCATAGACACTGGCCTCCTTGTTCCCTCTCGTTGCCTATCAGTCCTTACCACTTACGCAAATTTCCATGCCACCTTATTGACCTCCTTTCCTCAGCAGCTCCTTCTACACTCAAAAGCCTCCCTTCCACCTCTGCTCCAGTGGTGAAGCCTCCACGTTGCTTTCTATCTGATAACCCAACGGCACCCCAAACTACAATTCTTAGATTGCTTCTCCATGGAAGGAAATTGATCCCTCATAATGTGTTACAATCCTAATTGAAAACCAATATTTTGGATTTTGGATGGCATAAGACCTGTTGGGTGCATGCAACTTCATATTTTGAAAGAGTATTCATGATGCATGAATCTGATGATAATAGAGTCTACAAGTTGATGTTCTACATTTGATCATGATCTTTCACTGGGCATTAGATCTATGCACAAGGTGATGTAACAATTTTATTCATGGATAACATCACAATTTTCCTGTATGCTTGAAGAACTCTATATCTTATCCTGAAGTTATAAAATGCTCTCTATCATATGTCAGTTTTCATTGATAGTATGGACATATAGTGCAAAGTATGTTCCAAAGAAAGTTTTGTATATCTTCATCTACGTAGGTATTTTTTAAAAATATCTAAAAAATATTTTCAAGATTATTCACATGACCTAGAGCATCTCTTTATGCTTTTAGGAAGAGAGTCAACTCACTAAATTAGATGCGTTTGACATTTGTAGTTAGAGAGACACTATTAATTGGTAATATAACAATTTAAATATCATATACATTATCAGTTGGGCCAAAGCATAGCAGATGTTAACTGTCATCAAAGTTGAAAAAAATAAATTCAAGTGTAAACTACTAAATTCATATCCTAAAATAGTTTTGAACATGTTAAATTTGGTGAAAATATCCTAAAATAACCATTAAATTTTAGACTAATTTTTCTATAAGGTTTAATAGCCTTTTACAAGAGAAAAAAGTTGACTTGGAAATAGAGTTATTTAAAATGCACAGCCAAGGAAAAATTAGTAAAAGTCCAAAATCAACAAATCTCACACTAGTATTTGAGAGTTTCTTGTTGCAACATTAATTGATATATAAAGTTTTGAAGATGAAAAATACACAAGATAAATAGATAGATTGAATATGTTAATTATTCATTGTATATGAAATGCATCAATATTATCTTGAACATGTGTACAAAATTAATTACATAAAAATTCCTGAAGAATACAAAGTAATGAAGTAGTTCCATCTCATAGTTTGAATTATAAAATTTACAAGAATTGACTACTCAAAATTGTTACTTTGTTTATAAATGTGAGAAATGCTAATACTTATGAAAACTATCATTGATGGAAAGTAGTAAGTAACATAGTTGATTCAACGTGAATTATTGAAGTAAAATGTAAGTTGGGAATTGTATCTAGTATACTATGTCTACGAATTTGAGTCCTTACTTCTAATTATTCTCAATGGTAAATTAATCAAATGAACTCAAACTGCCTAAACAACCAACCATTATCTGTTGAATATTAATAAAATTAATTAAAAATTGTTATTAAATATCATAAGTCACCAAATGATAATGATGATTCATATTTGAATCATTATTCAATGTGTCTAGTTTGTATTTGTGATTTTATTTGAGGTGATTTAGGATATTTTATTGAGTTGTATTCTTTGTTTTGTTTCAATGATAACTTACTTTTACTAAACACACTTGAACTAATAAAATTTAGATAATGCTTAATACTTATGCATGGTAGTTTCACCTTGGAGGATATCTAAACCTTAAAGGCTATGTCATATTGATTTCAGATCTTTTGAATTTCTAATTAATGTGAGAATTAGAAAAATTGAGTAATTTTAGAAAATATAGGATATTATTGAATCAAAATTATCAATAAATTCAGTCTCTTTTCAATGCCTAATTATTTATGAACAGTCATCTATGATCTTTGTACTCTCTTTAGTCTTTCTTTGAGAATTTGTGTAGAGAATTATAAAGAAATTTAGTGTTTGAAGTTTGGTCAAATACCAAGAAGACTGAGTAAAGTGAAAATCTATTCAATCAAAATCTTGATCTATTTGAAGAATTAATGTCTTAATTAATTCAAAAACTCTCCATGAGAAAATGAGAAAGAAAATCAAGTTCAATTTGACTTCCTATTCACCAAATTTAGGAAGATATTTCAAGTCTTCATCAACAACTAGAAAATTCTCATAGTAAAATTCTTTCTTATTATGTCTCGAAAATAGTTGTGATTAAATATTCATTTAATCAATCAAGATACTTAACCCTTGTCATTAGTATTGGGTCACTTAGCACCATGAGTCAAGTATAATTTAGGGTTGAAATTCTATGGGAACCAAGTTCAATAATCAAAGTTTGTTTACTAAACATCAGGTTTACTAGAATCAATAATGCAATATTCTTGAAGAGTGGGCATAGACATGGGGCTGAATCACTATAAAAATTATTAAGTATTCAAGATATAGATCTAGAAATTTCAAAGAGATTTTGGATTAGAAAGAATTTAATTACCAAGTCTAAAATAGTTGGCAAAAAATGAAATTAGGATTTGATTAATTCAACTTCTCCTTGATCTAAGTGCTAATAAAATCTAACACTTTTAAACCATAGGATACATCCTCAAATATGAGTTGAGAAATCAATATTGAAAGTTACATCTAATATATGAGTGAATTTATGTTTTCTTCATTTGTTATTTAGTACTTCTATTGCTCCAAATGACATAGAGTGATAAATCTAGAAGTTACTAGAGTTAACTAAGTTGAGCTTCAAGAGCAATAAATCTAAAAGACATTATTTGGGTACTAATTCTATTGTCTAACCTAGAAGAAATATCTTTTGGAATCATGAGGTTTGAAACCTAATGAAAGAAAGCTAAAACTTTTGTGTTATTGTACAACTTTAATATAGTGAACCCTAAGGACAAAGTCTTTGAGTATAGATTATGCTAAGTTTTGATGCCCTTGGTTTTAACACTTTTAAGTGAAAATTTCTTTATGAAATATTTACAAAATATTTATCTAACATTTATTAAACAACAAATTGATATCATGAAAACCTATATTACAATCTAACATCTTTGAGAAATATTCAAAATATACATCAATGATGCTTGAATAATTCAATGACAAACAACGAATTTAGAGAGTTATATCCTTGAGATAATTTCATGATGAATTGAATGTAGCAACATATTATTCATAGATAGTACAAAAAATCAGATGTTAGCGCATGTGATGAAGTTTTTGGAAAATTAAGAAATAGAAGTAACTTGTGGGATTCAAAATCTAAACCTACGTGATGAGAAGTCAAACCCTCGATGAGAAAAATCTATGAAAAATAAAAGGATATAAAGTCAGGTGCATGATTCAAACTCAAGACTTAAGCAACAAAAAGGTAGAACTCCAATAGCCAAAATACTTGAAAATTATGAGAAAGTAAAACCATTGACAAGATTTGAAATCAGAACATAAGCAACAATATGCTGAGAAATTGAGTAGAGAAATATCTATAGAGGAGAAGCATCCTCATGAAACCATTGAAGAGTCACGAAATAGGAGAGGTTTTTGTCATGAAAATATGCTAGAAAAACACGTGGAGAAAACAGCTGATCAAATAGATCTATTTGAACTCAACCCAAGAAGCAAAGATGATCGTTGATAAAACGTATTTCTCTAGATCAATTTTTAAATATAACTGATGTGAAAATAACAAGTCACAAAGTAAGGAACAAGTTAAGAACAATGCCATGCATTTTGGACAATAACATGTTGATAGAGTGTGTAGAGATAACAACAATCTTAACAACATTATTTGAGCTCAACCTTGAAAATAAAAATATTTTTTGATAAAATAAAAATCTTCAAATAAAGTTTCAAGAAAATGGATATAAGGATAACAAGTTTTGAATAAAATAACAAGCAAAAGTCACTTATGCATTGATAGAACAATGTGAAGAAATTTGAATTTGCATGATTATTTTTTAAGTGATGAAAAGACAAAAAGATGTTGAAGAATATAAGAAGCAACTTACAAAGAACAAGACTCAATTTTTAATGAGAATATCTCTCTATCACATTCATTCAAGCTCGAAGGAAGATCATATTCTATTTGTAAAGGTCAAGTTGTCATGTGCTTCAAAAAGAGTTGAAAGTTATATCAAACATATCATTCTACTATAGTGATTCAAATCAACTCTTACTTCAAAGGTTGACTCTCTTCATCAGGTCTTAAGGTACATTGGTGGTGAGTAAAGAGAGGTTTGGGCTAAGGTATAATGTGTTGTGAGACAATTAGTGCCCATGAAGGGTGATGTAGGACGGGGCGAGAACCCTTGTACCTGATCAATGAATCTCAAGACCGGGGATGGGGCAGTTGGACCGATCCAATCGAGATGTATGGACCCTAGACTCTAGGTCTGACCACGTAACCTAAGTATAGGCAGGCGTACCAATATGCATGATCAACCTAGGACAACCCCCGGGAGGCACTCGAAGATGGTAAGTGTGAAGCCCTCTCAGTCTATGTCCGGGCAGACGGTGAAACGGTCGTCGTGAAGTAGCCTAGTGCTGTAGCTCACGAACGGTGACGAGTCTGGTGCAGCGTCGGAAGTCATGATCCGATAACCCGTCCTATCCTGTCTACGTTCTCCTGATGGCGGTGGAAATGAGCCGAGGAAACCCTTCGAAAGATAATTAATAAGAAGGGGGGTACGGAGCTAACCTTCGGGGCTGTGTAGCCCGGCGGGTCGTGACGGAGCGGAGACTCGACGTAGGCAGAGACGTCCGGTGAAGATCGATGCTCAGCGTTGACGGTCGGTCGGTCCTGGTCGAGAGTCGCCGTCGTCGTCGTCGTAAGGGGTGGCGCAGTCGGTGCGGGCGTGGGCCCGCAGGTTGGCCGAAGGGCGCGCTAGCGGGCGCGCGCGGCAAGCCGCGTGGCGTGCCCCAGGGCACACGGGCGGCAGCGCCGGGTGGGCGCGCGGCGGCAGCGCTTCGGCGGGAAGGCCGAGCGTCTGCGGCGCCTCGGCAGGAATGCCGAGCGTCGGCGGCGCTTCGGCGGGAAGGCCGAGCGTCAGTGGCGCTTCGGCGGGAATGCCGAGCGTCAGCGGCGCTTCGGCGGGAAGGCCGAGCGTCGGCGGCGCTTCGGCGGGAAGGCCGAGCGTCGGCGGCGCTTCGGTAGGAATGCCGAGCGTCAGCGGCGCTTCGGTGGGAATGCCGAGCGTCGGCGGCGCTTCGGCGGGAAGGCCAAGCGTCAGCTGCGCTGGAAACGGCGCGACGGCGGCGGGGATCGTCGGGAAACTCCGGCGGGGCCTGTGAGGAGCTGGGACTGGATCTGGCTCGTCGGCACGGAAGCAGAGTCTCTCCCGACGTCGGCGGCAGGTAGGCGTTCGTCGGCGAACGGCCAGCGACTGGGCGGAGCGACGGATGGTGGCTCCGGCGAGTTTATGGTGGAGTTCCAGAGGAAGAGGTGGCAGTCGAACTAGGAGTCGAGAGACTCCGGCGGAGTGCTCGGCGACGGCTCGTAAGGAGGCGAAGCGAGCCCCTTTCGTCACGACGGCGTGACGGGGTTCCAGCAGAGGCGGCGGCGGTTACAGCGGCAACCGCGACCGTTTCGTCCGGTGACGGCGGCGAACTCCCGGGCGGCAATGAGATGGCCGGCGGCGGCAGTGGTCTCAGGCGGTGGTGGGACTTCTGGGGCAGCAGCGTCACGAGGAACGAAGTCCTCAAAGGGGGTATCGACGGCCTCCCTCTCCCTCCTTCCCTCCCTATCCTAGGTCACGGAGAAGGTACTCACAAAACGATAATCTCTCTCAAAAATACGGCGCTCCCTTGAGGGGGGGTCCTACCTCCCCTTATATGGGGCCCACAAGTGGGCTAAGGGGAGGTGGGCCCACTGAGGCCCTCAAGCCCATAAGCCACAAAAGGCTACAAGAGGGGCTTATTGGGCCTCTAAAAGAGAGACCCAATAAGCTCCCCTAAAAGGAGAAAGAGGAGGGTCCTCGTATGGTGCTTAAGTGGGCCTCAAATGAAGACCGAAATAAGCCCAAAAAAAGGAAAGGAACATAGGTCCCCCCCCTTAGGGTTTTAATTGGGCCTCAAAAGAGAGACCCAATAAACCCTAAAGAAAGGGAGACATAAACAACAACACACACACATAGAATTGGGCCCGCTAACACACAAATGCGAGGCCCAATAAGTCAACGTGAAAATACAAAGAAAGATAAGGGTGAGTTCGAGCTCGTCGTCGTCGCGGAGGTGGAATGTCGTTGTCGCGGAGGTGGAATGTCGTCGTCTCGAAGGGCTAGGCTGTGTAGCGAAAGCTAGGCTCCTTCATCTTCGTGCGTCGATCGGGCTGAACTCGGACTGTCAATGTCTCTTGAGCTGATGGAGACGAGTCCCGCTTGCCATCAAAGGTGTGGTCTCTAAGAAGATTGATGTATTTGACTTAAGAATGTGGTGCTACAAGTGATATCATGCATGTAAAGGGTGTGATATCTATGAAAATCAGACTAGATTGATTCAGCCATTGATCTAGTGAAATTGACTTGTATTATTTAGAGGGAAATCATTAACTCCAATATGAAGGACCCTCTAGGACTAAATGTAGTGAAGTAAGGGGTGAACTAATATAAAACTCTGTGTTTTTAGTGGCGACAAGGAAAGATAGATAGATAGAGAGAGAGAGAGAGAGAGTAGAGTAGAGTGAACCCATGTAGTGAAAGAAACTGATTTAAGTAAATACATACTTAGAATAGAGAACTTGTGTGAGAACATACGTTGACACATACTTGTAGACAAAATAAAAATTGTATGAAATTAATTCACCCCCCAGTCTTGGTGTTCCACTTAGTCACATTGAATTCAATACTATGTCGGTCAAACAACTATAAATTTAGGTTACGTAATATGATTAGAAAATTAAAAACCTAGTCATGATTTGAGAAAAGACCATCTCACTCTCCCCCTCTTTTTTCATCTTGTAGCCTCTTTAAAATCATGCCTTTTTCCCTAATATGTGCACCTTTTTGGATTTCAATCACTTTTAAAATATAACTTTAGCAAGTCCTTTCTATGAGACATTAATATGTCTTCAAGTATTGTTTTCAATGCTCAAGTTGTCCATTCAACGTTTAACCATTCTATTCTCTTAAAATTTCACTAGATTATTTCAGTTTATCTTTTCTTATGTCACAAACTTGATTTTGAGCAAGTTTTCTGTCTTAAGTCAAATTCTAAAGTGGGTGTTGTTTGGACAAAAACCTTTCTCTAAATTTGAACATTACATATAACTACTCTCTTAGATAAAAGTTAACTTTGGCATGTTTGCCTCAGCTTATATTCAAGGGATTATATATCAAACATATATAAATTTCGATTCTAATTGTATCATGACTGTGGTTTTAGTAGCATTCTTCATTACTAAAACTATATTTCAACAAATTCAAGAATTTCTAGGGTTACTAGCACAAGAAAAATGATTGAGTTGTCTGCTATTAAGATTCATTGATAATGGGAACTACAAGACCTAACTAGGAATTTTAACAATGTGTATATAAATATTTTATCTCTCTTTTCTCTGTATAAAATATTGTGAAAGATTAGTAACAAGATTTGAAATAAAATGAACCTTTGCAGTTAAGTTTGGGGGTAGTTCCAATAGGCTTTCCCCTAATAAGTCATTCCCTTTGTTATTCATGTAATCTGATTTTTTTATGAAATGAAAGTATCATGAGAAAGAAAGCTAGATAATTATGACATAGCTAGTTGAGAAGTAATCTATCATGAAATGTGATGCCAAAAGCATGCACAAACTATTTTTATCAACATCTTAAGGCATCAAAAGAGGATTCAAAGGGAATTTGTTTTTAACCAGAATGTTTAAAAAATATCAAAGAATTTTAATGTTTTGACCATCAATTTTGTAAATACTTTCTTGTCTTTCTACAATTCTCTCATGGTTTCTTATTTATTTTACTCTATTATGAACATATTTGGTCATAATAGAGACTAATACGTCAAAATTGATAAGCAATTCTAGTTTTGTTTTTCTAGTTTCTCCTTTTGTAATGTAGTTTTTGTTAACCTTCCAAAAATATTCTAAAAATGGATGACTTAAAAAAATTGTCTCAAATTATTCATTGCTAGTCATAAAATGAGTAATACAAACCTTATGGCTACTCATTTTTTATGTCTTTGAAAGCCACTGTAGTCTCATTTAAATGCACCTAAGCATTAATAACATTTAGGAAATACCATGCTTCAGGTAAGTAATTCTGCAAACATTTAGTTTTAATAGTTATTTTCTTTACTTTACATTAAGTTCCCAAAAAAAGTCTTGTTACATTTTTTCTATGTTCATTACTTTTCATGGAATGTATCTTATCCAAAAGTAAATGATAAATCGACCACCTCCTTCATTTAAAATTTTATTTTGGTGGAGAACATTGAAGGGGAAATACTTCATGGGCCATAAACACTCTCTAGAACAAGTCCCTATGCCCTGACTCTTGAAGCTTTATTTGAATGTTCATTGTCTCATATTTCTTTGTAATGTAAAATCTCATCCTTCTTTAAGGTTAAGAATAAAGAAAACATTATCAATGATTTATATCACTTCTTGGACTTGCTCCTACTTGGAATTATAGCTAGAAGTTAATTTAGAACGAAATCCAACTTGCAACTAGATGCTGAAGTATTGACTGGTCACATTCTAATGATTGAGCCAAGTTAACCAAGATTGAGTTAAAACTTTTAGGGAAAACCCAAAGGACCCATTTAAATTCTCAGACTAAGATTTAAAATTTCGAAGCTGGAATTAGGGTGCTTGACTTGGTTGGCAAAAGACGCATTAGCTCATGGACACTTTTAGAGTAAGAAAGAAGGTATGAAGTTGTTTACTTTAACATTGAAGTTCATTCTGTATCTGTAAATAAGATAAAACGAGGAAATGACATTGTAAAAAGATTTAATATTTCCTTTGTTTGAGGGAAATGGTTGTCTCCTATTCTTCAATGTAAATGAACACGAGAACTTCAGAGTCTGACATCAACTAAGTGATTTACTTGCAGTCTGGGTACCAGAAAACAAGGTGATATAGCATCTCTAATTGCATCTAATAAACAACGGAAATGACACTATAAAAAGATTTGATACTTCCAGAGCGCTATTTTCTTGGATCATGTGACAGAGAGCACTACCCTTGATGGACGAACACATTTTTCGTACATGTCTCAGAAGTTTAGTGAAAGAGAGCAATGTAAATGCTCGCAGCCCTCCAAGCAACAGAAGGAAATCTTACGAGAACCGAATGAAAAATGAAACACTTAGATTCTAGGAAATTCATTATTCAGTTCATTTTTATCTAGTTATACACACAAGAAAACGAAACGAAACACTGTTATTGAATCAAAATTGTAGAAAATTAGAAATACACCAAATTTTTTGAAAGAGGCAATTTATTTCGTAAATTCAAATTTGGGCTGGCCGTAATTATTGAAGTATTGGAGTCGTTACTTGGTTCAAGTTATTTAAAGAAGCTGGAAATTCCACGTAAATATAGGCTTTCTCTCTAGTTGTTGATGTATAAGTTGTGGTGTAGATAGCTTTAATGCCCACATTCTGCGTCATAATTTATTAAATGCTTTAATATAACGCGCACCAGGTTATTCATTAACGTCAAAACGAATATTCTAATGTAAATATTGAGCTAAGATCCATACATCGAGTACTCAGCTGCCTCTATGATCATAGAAGCTCAGCTTCCTATGTTTGTGAAATTGATAAGAGCTTGAGCTTCTATGATCACGAGGTTATTAGAAGGAAGATAGGTTTCAACCTTACGATTCATCAATTTGCATAGGAGCTGCAACTTGATACTCAAAACCAGTGATAGAACAAATCCGAGTACTAAGTGACTTAGGTAAGTTTCAGTGATTGATGTAGTAATTATGATAATGGCTAGGTTGCAAAGTATTTATCTGTGTTGATTGTAAATATTCAGTTAAACAAGACGGAGGAGCTACTTTGTTAGGCCTGGGATTGGGATGTTTGCACAATCCATTCCATAATAACAACTCTCGTTGCCTTTTTTCCTTCAGCATATAATATTGTCGCAGAGCATATTTCGCATCTTTTGCTTGTCTAAGATCTCATTCTCGTCATGACAACTAGAAAACAAAAGATAACCAAACTAAAATTAAATAACTAAACTCTGTACATACATGAGCTTAGATTTTGGGACCATATCAAATCGTTGGAAGAAGACAGAGAGATGTCATTTCTCCTGAACACAGTAAGAAAAAGAAATAAACGAAAAGAAGATACCTAGATATTTCTCTCACTTATCATTTATCCTTTTCAAGACAGAAACGTGGACGTCTACTTCTTTTCTGCTTTGCCAAGTCGCAGGAGGATCAAGAAAGAAAAACTACACAAGGTGAAGAAAGCAAACGTTTCCTCCAATCCACGGAGGAGCCCATCGAACAGCCGATAGAAAACCTATAATCACGCTACGATAACATTCATTCTCACCAAAAATTTGATGAGGGGTACGTCCACTGATCAAAAGGTCATGAGGGTCACAAGATCTACATCAAAAATTGACAAAGAATCGACTGATAAGCTCAGATCTGTAAGAGGAGGGCGACGGCTGGGACCCAAGACAATAGGTATCGACCACTTGAATATGAAGTCAAGTGGGTAATATAGTTACACTGGCAAAGGCTACTTGGGTAGAACATAGAAGGATGGAGGCCATCGAACGGGAAGTTATTCATGGATCAAGGGGCCTGAAAATCGGAGAGGGCACGCAGGAGGTGCACCTGCAGCTTGAGGTGCAAGATGTAGCCAGCCGTGCGCAGGAAGAGTTGGTCAGCATGGAGGCCCTCCCCGCCGGGCACCAGCGCCTGGAGCTCGCGGAACTTCCTGCCAACCGTTCCGAGAGGCGCCGCCGTCTGCCGCCTCTCTTCTTTCACTGCACAAAGGGAGGCTGCCCCGGGGCGCTGGGCAGTTCTCTTGGACCGGGCAGCCGCCGTTCTCCGGGTCTTCCTCCTCATCGACGCCCGGAGACAGGCGTTCTCCATGACGAGATGATGGAGGGGGATGAGAGGCAAGACAGGTGTCAATTGTGAGAGGGGAAGAGGAAGTAGTTTTAAATGGAAAAGAGTCCTAGAGAGAGAGAGAGAGAGAGAGAGAGAGAGAGAGAGAGAGCAAGAGAGCCCTCTGGCGATAGATATGAGAGACGCCATGACAAACCCCACAGGAAAGCCATGTGCGGAAGTGTTGCCTGCCTGGCGAGGCGAAATTCTCTTACACGGCCAATCTTTCCTGCAGTGGAGAGGCCAGCGAGGGTGGTACACGGATGGAGGGGTTCGTTTTCCTAGCGCACGTGTCTGGTTGTACTGCCAGCCACTGTTATAATTATACGCCATGGTAGCGACGGGGGCGGCCTTCAATTCCCCGTACACACCCTAAGTGGCCTCCAAGCCTAAGCAGAAGATAACTCCTTTGAGGGAGTGTCGACAAACACGTGTGAGAATTCCAATGGTAGTCTTCCGTGATCTTCATAGTCTCTTCTACCTTCTCACTCTAGCGTGGTGGCTGCCGGTGGCCATTATCCCCGAACAAGGTCATAGATTTAACGTATGATGCATTGTATAAACAAAAGGTTTATCCATGCTATGACCAGGAGAGGCGAACTCCCCCATGAGTTTTAAATATGGTTGCATGTTCTTGACGATGCTGCTCGTTTTGACTTCTAACCACATGGGTAAGAGTTCGAGAGGGGGCCATGTTTTCTCTCTTGAATATTCAATCTTCCACAAGGTTTTCGTATATTATTGTGTCTCATTACTAAGGATGATCCATTGGATCCAAAAGGTCAGAGAGGGGGCGGCCATCAAGGATTCCATGGCTAAACAACGCTCCCAGCTCACTCGGGTTGCTTCATACTTATTTCCATGTTCACGTTTAATTTGATACTTGTACGAAATAATTTAGACCGGGAAGTCCACGATACCCATCCACTAATTTCAGAGAGAGAGAGAGCGACAGAAAGAGATGAGGTACCGTGCGGATGATTATCGATCGGTCACGTAGCATGTAAAACTGATTATAGGCTTCCAGGTGAGATCCTATCGAAGCTCCAACCTGACTCAATAGGTGGTATCACGGTAGGCCTATTATTCTTTTCGACCTTAATTTAGGGAACATAGCCCGAGAAAATCAGAAAGTAGAGCTAGTTTTCGCGTGGATTCTTACCAACGTCTTTACTTGCACATGCTGGACATTATCAAAATTACTAAACTATCCCTGTAAGCTTGTTGTTTAGGAAGAGTGCATAGTGAGAGGGCTTACCCATGCAAAATCCGGCTCACCTGACAGATCCAGCCACGGTTGACAGAAGTCTTCCTGGCCTTCCCATTCGTGAAAAAGAATATCTCTTGACGAGAAAGAAGTCTGGCCACAGGCCAGTCAGAGACGTTGATGTTTCACGTGGATAGCCCTCAGGGTTTGCCTGACAAGATGCGCTTGAGATTCACAACGCTTTACTAATTACACTCAGTAGATTACCGTGCGTTAGTTTCTTAATACTGTTAAAGAGGTCCACCATTTATGCTTTCTCTTTATGAAACTTCTTCTACATGGCAACAGCCCCCTAGGATTATAACTTTCCATCTCCAAATAAATATCGTCATTCAATCACCATCTGGCTGTGGTAGATAATTGACCGTCGTATTCAAAATCAATTATCCTCAATGAAGTAGATTCATGTATCTTCAAATCCAGATCTAGCTTATTAAAGTTAATGTGGGACTGTTGTATCACATTGGATTATACGTGGATCCAGAGGTACAACAGCATGTGAAGGTATTAGTCTATTTATATTGAATGGATTCCTTACGAACTGTGCATTTTCTCATATGTCAACAAGTTAGTTTAATTATCCAACGGTGCATGGCAATTCGAAGAGACTGCTAAGCGTTTTCCATTATTTCCGCGAAGTAATATTAATCTGTCATACAATTCAATATCAACGGTCTGAGAGATGTCATAGGTACCTTCAATATATGCAAGGGTGTCTCCCAAGTTCATTATCAACACTTGAGCGTGCATAGGGTTTTAGGAGATCGATTCGTCGACTCTTGCAGGCCATCGAAGCTTGTATTCGTAGCTTGGAGGAGCAGAGAGAGCGCGAACTTTCAATCAATGCAACTGGCGTGGGGAACTAAACAAAATGGCTCAGCCTCTCATGTGCACTGTCGCCAGAAGCTAACGTGAAGGCGTGAGCCGTAGGCCAGTGGATGTGATTCCATTATCCTGACGCCGACGTCTGTCCTCCCAATCTCAGCGGCCGTGTCGATGCCGCCAAACAATTACCCGTAACAGCCGTCGGATTCCGACCGCCGGTGGTCCACAGCCGGGAGGGGGGCCTCGCCATGTTCCGACCGCCTCTGCCCTCCCTGGGCCGGCTCTTGCCGCCGCCGCGGCAGCGCCCTTGCCGGTGGAATTTTCCTTTTCTGTGTTACGCAACACTTCTTTGATGCTCCTCGGGGATGAGAGGTCCGACAAGAAAGTATTTCGACTCACATGATAAAACCCATTCGAAAAGAAAGCATTAGTCTGTAGAACAGCATGCCTAATTCTCATACTGTGGGAGGTCTGTGGATAAAGGATGAACCAGACATCACTTTTATGAAGGTAACACGATCCGACAGGAATAATAAAAGTGGTGTAGCTTGTCGGAGAGTCCTCTGGTCCACGTGGAAGGAGTCCCCGGAGTTTAGGACACGGGCCGTGGGCGAAGGACTCGGTTCTTAGGGGCATTTTGTCGAACACGCGTGGAGTAGACGGCCCTGTCTATATTCCTAGGGTACATTGCACATTATACAAGAATTATCGAAAAACGTCAGCCAAGTCGATAGCTGACTTCTCGTTATGTATTATGATGGGTGTGGATGGAGGCCGAGGGCCGAGGGCGCGGAGATAGATCAAGAGAGGCCCGGCGACCGGCCCACGGGGGCTGCGGGGAGAGGGGGCAGGGCTGTTCCTTATTTTAACTATTATTGGTGACGCACGGCCGCGCACATGCTTGCACATGATACTTTTCACTATCCATTCAGGTATGTGTGCATGGGATAGATGGGTCTCTCTCTCTCTCTCTCTCCCTCTCTCTTCCTTTCTCTCTCTCTCTCTCTCCTCTCCTCTCTCTCTCTCTCTCTCCCTCTCTCTTCCTTTCTCTCTCTCTCTCTCTCTCCTCTCCTCTCTCTCTCGATCTCCTCTCTCTCTCTCTCTCTCCCCTTGCTCTCTCTCTCTCTCGATGTCCCTCACTCTCTCTCTCTCTCTCCCTCGCTCTCCTCTCTCTCTCGATCTCTCTCTCTCTCTCTCTCTCTCTCTCCCTCCCTCTCCCTCCCTCTCTCTCCTCTGTCTCTCGATCTCGCTCTCTCCCTCTCTCTCTCTTCTCCTCTCTCGCTCTCTCCCTCTCTTTCTCTCTCTCTCTCTCTCTCTCCTCTCCTCTCTCGCTCTCTCCCTCTCTCTCTCTCTCTCTCTCTCCCTCTCTCTCCCTCTCTCTCCCTCTCTCTCCCTCTCTCTCCCTCTCCCTCCCTCTCTCTCCTCTGTCTCTCGATCTCACTCTCTCTCTCCTCTGTCTCTCTGTCTCTCTCTCCCTCTCCCTCCCTCTCTCTCCTCTGTCTCTCGATCTCACTCTCTCTCTCTCCCTCCCCTCTCTCTCTCCCTCTCCCTCCCCTCTCTCTCTCGTCTCTTCCTCTCTCTCTCCTCTTTTTCTTTCTCTTCCCCCTGTTCCTCCTCATTCTTCTTTAGCGAGAGTGAAGACCTGTTTGTAGGGGGTCACCAGAGCCTTGGACATTCACAGCTCATAGTGGGCTCCAAAGGAAGGCTCGGTCCAAGATCGTCGATACTCAACTCTCTTGGCTACCAAGGATGCCGTAGTCTTCATATTTACTATAAATCAATACTCGAACACGCATATATGTCGCCCTCCCGAACGTAAAAATGCCTATGTATGAATGTCTTCCAATTCGCATCAATGATACGGGACATTGCTGAGGGAAACAGACGCGTGGCGAAAATTCTGGCTTTCCCTTGAAGAATGGTGTGTGTGAGAGAGAGAGGAGCCATATAAATTTTTGCATAATATTGAGATAAAAATCCAAGATTTCTTTTGAAAAGTATAAAGATTGTGAGAGAGACAATTCATAGAAGCTTTCTCCTAATCTCTCATATTTCAACATATTAAGATGAAATCATTGTTTCTTTTCAAACATTGCGAGAGTGAGGGAGAGAGAGACAGGAACGCTAGAAACGCGATCCTGCTTCTCTAGCATATCAACGCATCATGATGACAGCGGAAAGAAGAACGGAAATATTAACGGTTAGAGAGGGAGGACAACAGATCGAAGGAGATGGATTAAGCATGGCCGACACTCAGGCGAACCGCCAACAGGTCGTAAGTTTCCATGCCGAGATGCTCTTATCAGCTTCCGTCTGGCCAGAGTCGGAGGTCGGCTCGCGGGGCTTCTCATGTTCTGGCACATGCCCAAGCATGTGCCGGTGGGCAGCGACGACGGCGACCCCGCCAGCTTCGCCCGCCCGCACCCGGCGCCCCGCGGGAGCAGCCCGACGGAGAGGTGGCGCAGCTGACGAATCAGAAGGATGGCGCATGTGAGTTTCACGTGTTGCAAGGTGGCCGCAAGGGAGAAAAAGAGAGGAAGTACGCCCACGCATGTGACGCCATCGCCCCGTTGCCATTAAGCCCAAGCTGGGTGTTGGGTGTCTCCGTGTGTCCCCACAGTGACGTCCGCACGTGTGAGCACGTGCGCCAGCTGCCCTCTCTCTCTCTCTCTCTCTCCTGGTTTCTGCTCTGTCCATGAGTACCTATTGAATTAAGTACCGTTTAACAATGCGATAGTTCATGTTCGCCCCTGAACTCACGGGAAGGGTATCCATATGTAAATATAAAATAGAGAAATAAGTTATACATTCTGTATTCTGAAAGGGTTGCCATTACCTTGGAGAATTAGACATCCAATACTTCTCTAGCCACTAAGATCTGGATAATAATCTTAGTCTACCTACTAAGATTTAGATATGCCGATGGGTTGGAAAGGATTGGGTCATACTAGTCTCAGCTCAAGTCTTTGGATCTTTCACAACCCTTGTTCTACTTCTAACCTGAAGAAAAAAGCTAAGATGAGTTCATGACTACACAGTGGAAGTCTTTATCCTAAGAAATGAATAGGCCCACTTCTTATGCACCATTAGAGAGAGAGAGAGAGAGGCCGGCAACCATGTCGGTGATTCTAATCCATGCACATGTCGTAAGAAATGGAGTCTGGGCTCGATGTAAATCTGTAAAAGCCTAGATCTAGCTGAAGACTGGAGGCTAGTTTGGGCCAATTCTTTCTCTTCAGTTTAAGTTTCAGACCCCATCCTAACTATGGTGGCCCATGATACCAATAACTGAGCGATTTAGTGCCATAAAAGATGGAAATTATAGGGTCCTTTAAAAAGCTTAATAGGTTACACTCACTTCTATAAGATGAAAATTTACTGAACCTTTCCTGCCTATTTATTGGTTTGTATTATAAAACTAAATTAGGTATATTGATAAAAAAAATAGCATACAAAAATCGCTCAAAATTATATCATTTTTCATTATACAAAGATTTCGAAACAATAAAAACCCAGAAACCCCACGGACTGTCAAGGGAATTTATCGATTGGCAGGAAAAGGTCACCATTAATGATAAAAATTTCAAATTTCTCTTCATTCCTTCTGAATTTCCTTTTGACATCTGGCCATCGCTTATGTAATCCGGGTCACTGATCATACTCCCTACCTTAGTAAGCTATTAATTGAGGGTAGAAGTCGTTTGGATTCTTGCTTATAACCCATTACTTTTCTCCAGTGCTAATGTTTTCCCCGTCTAGTCATATTCCCCGGCCGAACAAGCTTCTACTTCTAGAGACTCTGAGACTCTATCAGGGTCCTTGTCATTCGGAAATCTACGATAGAATTTGTGAAGAAATTTTCCTAGAAGGAATCGGAGAATTGTCATTAAGAACACATCACAGCAGGTACGATCTTTTTGTAGATTCTTGGATGACACAGCTGCTGCGCTGAGTTTTCCACTCACGATAAATACTAAGAGTGTTAACACGCCATGGCTACCCGGTCCAAGACCCACCATGAACTGCAATGCCCAGACAGAATAAGGACAGATGAAAGCAAGGAAAATTTGTTCTGGCCAAAACCCCTATGATCCTCAAATCTAATCTTGATAGGCCCAACCCACAGCCCTTTATTTATCCTTCATTTAAAGCCTAAACTGGCCCAGGTAGCCGGTTGGGCATGGCTAGGCCTAGTGGCTTCAGTCAGCCCATTCGCAGCCTTATTAGAGATGGGTTTCTTCAGGTATGAGAAACGCAGCTTAAATGTCTTCTTTACATCAATAGTTAAGTGAAGATTGAAAAACTTGAAACATAAGTTCTGGACCATACCCCTATGATCCTCAAATCTAATCTCGATAGGCCTGACCTAGCCTTTTTTATTCATCCATCTATTCAAGCCCAAACTGACCCTGGTAACCGGTTGGGCATGGCTAGCCTAATGGCTTCAGTTGGCCCATTCGCAGCCTTACTACAGATGGGTCTCTTCAGGCCTAGGAAACACAGCTTAAAGGACTTATTTGCCTCAGTAGTTAAGTGAACGCCCCCCCAGTTATTTTTTCACTCATGGTGATCATTAGCTTTCCCTTTATCTGTTTACTTTTCTTAAAAATGGAGTCATGTCCTATTAATTTTGTGAAATACATACTTAAATGTATCAGTTTTACATAGTTTTGTAGCATGTTTATTATTTTAAATATTCCTTGATTATATCTTATTATACTTTATTTGACATTTTTACCCTTAAATCTATCATCATTAGGACCAAATCGAAATTTAGTCATTAAATTTTATTTTTTAGATATAAATTATTTTTCTTAATTTTTGTCATTTTTTAGAATATTTTCAAAGTACATGTTGATTATAGCAAAATTATGATCCCATTAAGAAAGTCCATTAAGGCTCATTTTGTTGGTTTATTTAATTAAATTAAAATAATTCAGAAAATGGGTAGAAATAACTTCCTTATGTCAAAGGAGGATTTTCAATTTTTAATTTATTTTTCATTTTTTTTTCTGAATAATTTCATTAGTTGAATTGATCTTAAACCTATTTACAATCTATAATCTCATTGTTTTCACATAAGATTTAATATTTTTTTCCTACATCCATTGTTCATTTCTTAGCTCGCAAGAGAACCCACTAGCAAAGTGATTCTTGTCTCCTCCCTCTCTTTTCTCTTTTTTTCTTTATTATCCATAGTTTCATTTATTTCTTTTATTATTTTTGTGTAGATTGATAACCTCATGATGACAAGGGAATGAAGGCAATGGTTAAAGCTCACTGAACACATAATATCTATTTTACTCTCCCTCTCTATTGTTTCTTTCATTATTTTTATTTTTACTTTTATTTAAATATATTTAGAGAACTAAAGAAAATTATCATTTGACTTGATCTCTTCTCTATGGATCAACCTGAAGTCACTATATTTACTTATTTTATATTAATGTGAATTCAATTCTATAAATTTTAAATTCAATATCTCTTAATTCAACGACTAAGAGACAATTAGTAATGAAGTTTTTTCTCTTAATCATTTATTTTCTTCGATTGTTAATATGAATTTTCTAGGTCATTGAGGATTCAAGTACATGAAAATAAAGATTAATAGAACTTTTAAGTTTTTTTATTGCCATATTAATAAGTCTCTATTATCATGAGTTAATAATTCATTAATAATATATTTAAATATTAACTCATAATAAATAGACTTATATTTATGTTAAATTAAAAAAAGGGTTTTTAGTTGGTTAATATGATTTTTGACTAATTATGTGATTTATGTAAATTATATAATTTTTATGATCATGTTTTTGAGATAAAATGAAGAGAAATAAAATAAAATAAAATAATATAAAAAATGGAGGACTCACCAACAAGCTAGGCCCACAAGTTGGTTGGAAGCATAATTAGGCAGAGCAATGAGGTTACATGTGCATCACTCCCCTTCCACATCCCTAGTGGTTAGTCGAACATGCAGCAAGGAGTGGTTGTACACAAGTAAAAGAGCACACATTGATAATAAGTATAAGTAGAGACATATATATATCTCAAACATTAGAAAATAGTCGATGTAGGACTAAATCTAGGCCACTATTTGCTGTCATCTATTTTTAATATTTTTATATCTAAAATACCTCCAAATGATAAGACGACACTCTTATGATGTCACTTTGCAAGGGTATTTACATACTTATTTAACTCTCTTTCATCTAGGTGGGTGACTAGCAAAAGTTTGAATTGTACCAGAGTCAATACTTATTTGATTAACTTGTAATTTTTTTACTTAGTGTTAGTCAATAATTAAGCCAATAGAATCACTCAATCATCAATGAAAATGTCATCAACATGCTTCATAAAACATCATTACTAATTGGCTTGACTTAAATATTGTATAATAAATCACATAAATTTAAAATTTATAAAATAAGAAAAACTAATTTTTAAAATATTTAGAAGTATTTATCAAGAATAAATTAATTATAATTCAATCAAATTTCTAAAAATAGTCAAAATTTTCCAAGTTGATCACAAGGATGTAATATAATCTTAGGTAATTTCCAGAATTTTCTTCAAAGAATACGGTTTTTTATAAATTTTAGACTAGAAAATGAAAATAAAATATATTTAAAATTCACAAAAAAAGAGAAATAAGGGGTGCAGTGTCAAGATGACATCAGTGTCCTAATAGATGTGAATCGGACAGAAACAAAGTTCTGCCTAGTGACTCTTACGTAAGTGATTATAGATGATTTAATTGGTTAAATTAAGATCCATAAAAGTGAAAATGATCTTAATTGACTGAATAATAATTTAGAAAATTTAAATCACACAAATTATCACTAAATAAAGTGAAAATTAAGTTGAAAGTAAGAAAGATAGAGTTCTAGCCTCATGACAGTGATTGTCAAAATTTTGTGTATTCATGAGATCACTGAACGATGTCCACTACCTCAAAGGCTCTCCTTAGACATAGATGACCTGGAAATTCATTGGATCTTCTTTCGAAGTCTAAAAAATGATAATAAAAGGTAAACTAATTAAAAATTAGTAAAGTAGAGTTTTGACGTCACAATAGCAATGCGTCGGCAATGTGTCAGAATCTTGAGCATTCGGAAAGATTGTCATGCAGCGTCTATAGCCTCAAAGGCTCTCATTTGACAAGGATGACGTGGGCAATCTTTTTCAAAGTCTGAAAATCAATAAAATGGGTTGTTGAATCATCTCCGACAACTGTCACCTGACGGAGTAGAAAAATAACAACTTTGCGACTCTTTAGTGGCTATCTTTTGATAAAGATGAGCTGGATGGAGGTGGGGCACATGTCAAAGAGTTTCATTCTCAATCGCCATAGTAAGAGGGGGCTCTTCATCGCATTTGATATACTCTCAAGAGGTTGCAACTCATTTCTCAGTTGGTTATCCTCTTCCCAATGATGTATTGTTCTTCAATCAATCAGAGATTTGATAGATTCATAATTTTTTTCTCGTAAATTATTTAGTAATTTTAGTAATGATGCTCTACAAATCACGTTGATGAGATTTTTGTTGATGATTGAGTGATTTTAGTGGCTTAATCATTTACTAGTGATTTGTAGAAAAATCATGATTTAATCAAATAAAAATATGAGTTTTGGTTCTAGTAAGATTCGAACCCTTGTCGATCGTCAACCTATATGAAAGAGAGTGAAATAAGTA